CAAGATACAGTATTCAAAATTAACGACTCTGTTTACATTGTTTGGAGATATATCTCCCGGCGGTGTGTTATTCTGACACACTATTAAATTGATTAAAGTGAGGCGCTGTACGATAAAAAGAAGGTCCAAAGTCATCAGCTGATATAGACGAATCCAACAGGGTCATAAATTGACACGATCATAAACCAAATCTATGCTAATAAACTGCCTTAAAAGAGATTAGGAAACCGAAAAATTATGTACATTGGCTGCCGTTGTTGTAAGAAGTTGATTTTACGATCGAACTAAATCCAGTTGTGTTTTAAGACCAGGCAGGACAAGTGTTTGCAGTTCCCAAATAGAGCAATAAATTTGTAATAAAAATTGAAGCCACAGAGGGCGAAAGAGTGAGGGAGATAGAAATATCAGCTGAATTTTTCTGTAAGTGCCAGTATGCTAAAACAATAAAAGAAAAACTTTATTTGTGGCCGGAAAGTTGTTTAGAAAAACTAGAAAAGCGAAAAACAAAGCATTAGCATTATAGACTCATGCTCGCGCATATTTCAAAAAGAGAAAACACACGCACACTAAAATTTTATTGCCGAGCAAGCCAACGTACTAAAAGCAACAAAGTTATAAATACACTTTAGTGTAATATTTCATTAGGCTACGACCCAGAAAATTTGGCCAAAAGTTACAAAACTCTTGCCAAAATTTATGTTGAGCAGCCTCAGCTCAAAAAGCAGTACCACAAGCAATAAACTTCAAAATAAATTAATAACTTATTTGTTAAAAAAATAACGAAAGGAAATTCAATTTTAGAGTTCAGTTATATTTGCATTATTGTAATTTATTTGTGTAGCTTTTGATAATTACATCAGGTCTCCACTCGCCATTTACAATAAAAACAACTAAAAACAACACGAAAATTAGCAAGAGCAACAAACGCTCGCATTTAATTAATGAGTTTTGTGTATATACATATACAACGCTCTGAATTCTCTTTATTTTTTCACTTTTATTTCCTCGCTTAACGTTTAACATCGTGGAAGTTTGAATAAATAGAAATGTATGTGAATATAAAAGACGATCCCAAATTACGGCAACGACCTAATGAATATTCAAGGTAAAAGTGTTTAATTTTGTTTGTTGGTTTTCTGTCTGTCTGATAAGTTTTTAACACATTTTTATTGCGCTACATAATGAGCTCAGGTTGGGTATTTCGATTCAACAAATGTAATGCAAATATTCCCATTAATCAAAACAATTGAGCATTTGCCATATGAGCAAATGATAGTTGAGTAAATAATTGAAAAACATAAACAAGTCTTATAACTGAAATATACACAATTTATCAAGTAATCAGAAAATCAAATATCCCTAAGCTCAAATTAAAAAGCACATGCGTTGCCCATTAACATAGGTAAACTACTTGTAAATGCTGCCACCGCAAAATAAGTACGAAGAGCCACTAACAGAATCTAGCTTTCAGAGATAACATACAGTGACAAGACGGACCCTAGTAAAACTTCATTACTGTTAACATTACATCCGTGAAAGACACCAAACAGTCATATGTCATAGTCTTTATGAATAGCACATACATACATAATCTAAACCCTAACATTAACTAATAAAGCATAGCAGTTGCATAACATGTCGGAGCTATCACTATGTTGAAGCTGACAGGCTGGCCTTTAACACAACCTTTTATAGAGATAAGTGTTTATTTTTGTTTTTAATATAATACTTTGTTACAATCATAAATATTGCCATTGACAAGAATGCATATATTCAAAATGTAATTTGATCGAACACTTGACGGTTGCCCGTCTTCTGGCATAAGTGCTGAACATGTATACCACTGCTGCACGCGTCTAATAATATAATGCAAATATATATGCATGAGTACGCTCTTCTGCTCAGAACATGTTAGCGTATAGGATAATTACGTTAAATTAGAATTGTAAGCTACGATAAGCTTGGTAAAAATTCGATAAATTCATTTCTTAATCTGTCAATCTTTAAGAGCGGTTTGCTTAACTACCAATTGGTAATCTCTTTAATGTGAGAACCACATGACATTATATTGTTTACGCATAACAGAACTAGCCAAGCATTTCTGGAGTTAACAGAAGGCACACTTTCTTAAACTCTAACATTGGATACTGTTGCTAATAACATTTTTAAAATAATTCACTTATCCCAGCTCTTAGCTAATTTAAATCATAAAAACAACGGACACATCTTCAAGTTGACATTCACCTTAATGTATTTATAAATATAGCAACAAATGTATCGACAACAAAAAAAGAAAAATATATATATACCTAGTGCTAATCATATTTAATCTTAAATGAGTGTATCTCTAAACACATTTGTATATTCCCCCAAATAAAAGTGCATTTTAGGGAAAATGCGTTGCAACAGAAATGAAATTCGGACACGCAATGCGCCTACGCAATGATCATGCATTAATTTATTTCGCTACACTTTTCATTTGTCGCAACGCGTCACTAATTAAGCTATTTTTGAAAAACACATATATATATTTCTCAACTGGGCGTGGCTCTTGTCTGCCATGTTGTCTCGCCAGAGAAAAGGAAAATAAAAAACCACCACATAGGACTATTCAAGATCGCGTGTTATGTTCCCCAACTGGCAGCTGTGCCCAATTAATGTCACTTTGCTCACCATTTCAATTTGCTAAGAGTACTATGAGTACTGGCTACGGGTATGGCCGAGTACAGTGAATGCTCTACTAACCGACAGCTGACTTGGGGTAACATTTCCGCCTATAAATATTAATTTAATTTTATTTTTTTATTAAAATAAAACGCACATATCTGCAAGGATATAAGTCGTAATACTTCGACACGGTGTTCGCTTAAGGGAGCTTTCACTGTATCCGTAACTTGTCGTGGGCGCACAAAACAACACTACATTAGCTAAATAGAACATTTTTTTTGTCATGTTTAACTTTTCAAATATGTTACAAAAATAGAGTTTGTTGATAAGCATAGAGCCAATTGATATTAGAAGCGAAATCAGTTTTTTAAATAAATACACTATTTTGATTGACAGTGAACTCAGTTTCTAAAAGTAACGCACGCGCCCACAACTGGCCTATTTTTAACATATATATGTGTGTGTATACATACCACATATTTAAATATATGGCACTTTTGGCCAGACAGACGCTTGCGTGTTTTATTATTATAAAACTATTCTTGGCTTTATGGGGCATATTCAGTTAGTTTAGTTTTTATTACAAACATCTAGGTTATACGATTTGGTATATTTATTCTTATCCTTATATATTGAGTTTTTTTATTATTTGAGAAATCTATATCTGGAACAAAACACATTAAATTTGATAACCTTAATAGTTTCGAAATCAATTAAACTAAAAAAGATAGAGAATATATGTATTGATTTAAATTAATCTTCATTGTTATCGATAGCTCAGCATTACAACCGGACTACTGATTGCACTTATTTATCGATAAGAACTAATTACTACCTTATGACTGTCGACTACTAGCTTAAGCCTTCTAAAAATTGATAATGCAGTTTCTTAAGTCGCATTTCAATCAAAAAATATCATATATAAAACTGAGCGTAAGTCAAGTTTAATAAAATTCCAGTGCATAACGCTGACGAGCATTTAAAAATTTATGAGCTACACTAATGAATTTATCGATGCTAATATTAGAGATGACTTGGCACGAAGATTAATTGATAAATTACATATATGGAAGCACACACATACACACACACACACACGCACACGTAGATATGTGTGTGTAGCTGTAAACTGAATGATGGCCCGCTGTGTTTAGAATTTATACGTTCCGGGGTTGGCCGTCAAATGCGCTGCTTTTGGATGTTTGGGATACGATTTTTGGGGAGACCCAGTGCACTCTGCGCCGCAGTCATTAAATCAGTCATTTTTGAACGATATATTCGGCATATTCAAATGCTTATCAATGCGAGCCGTCATGTCAACAGTTCATTACGAGTATTTTTAATTGTCGAATCGAAATGTGCGAATAACAAATGTGCAGGAAAATTTTTAATCAAATAAATCAACACTATCGAATCTATTGCAGCAACGTGCCGTTATTTTTGAAGAAGATTAAATATAAATCAATCAAAAGAGCTAAAACAGTTAAATGCATAAAAAAAAGAACATGTATTAAAATATAAAACAAAAGGAACACACAATATGAAATCTATATTGTGTAAACGTACACAATTTAAACAGCTGGCAGTATGTCAAGTACAGTGAAAGTTCTCTTAAGCGGATTCCAATAAAATTATTCCACACTGTAGCATATTCCTGCCGGTTCAAACGTGGATCAAATCTAGCCAACAACTACTTTTTGAAAATATTTTCAACATGCAATATTTTTAGTAGAGCGGGCAACTAAAAAAACATTTCAAAATATACGAAAACCGAAGGCATGAACCAAAACCTGGAAAAACTGGAAACAATTGCCTGTTCATCAGTAGAGATTTCACTGTATTCGAATACATGCCCCATTTTCTGCCACCTTTTGAGTCTTTTGTGCCTATCCAAACAATTGGAAGTATACGGCGCCAATAATTTCCCAAACAAAAACAAAAATGTGTATAAACAACAAATTGGTTTGTTGCATGAAAATAAAAAAGAGCTAAAAAATGCGAGAATCACTTGTGATTTGTGTAATCCGTTGGAGAAACACAGTCTAATAAATTGTTGAATTTTGGGCAAAAACGAGTTTTATTTTTGGTTTGTTTGGCGACAGACAACGTAAATTCCAAGAATCGATTATGGCACAAAAATAAAATTTAATAAAATGCAAACAACAATATAAATTTTGAAATTTAGCAGATGCTGCCTGATTTGCATTGGCGCCAAGCAGGAGGGGGCAACAAAAGAAATATATAAATATATATATATATATATATTTAAATTTATGGCATTTGCATCAGAGAAATTTGATGCTTATCGATAAATGATAGACGATATCACTTACCTGATCTTGACAGAAATAGCCGAATCCAATGATGCCCGCTATGGCTAAAAATAGGCAAAATACAATAATTGTTCGTATTTTTGAGCGTGGTTCCATTTTTTTAATCTCATAAACACCGCTTGGTAGTAACAAAGCAAAATCACTGTCAACTTGTACGGAAACGTTCTTATGCATATCCCCGGGCATGTTCCATAGGGCCACAGTTTTCTTAACAATCGCAATTTTGATTAACCGATGGTTGGACTTAAGCGCCAGCTAAATAATTCAACGGGACAACAATTACATAATTCCACGAAAATGCCAAACAAATGCCGCCCAGTCATTGTCCGATAGCAAGCAGCGCCACCTATCGCTCACTTTTGGCAGCCCATATCGATAGGAAGTACGATTTCGGGCTCACAAGCGTTTAGCTGGAAAAATAATAAGAATATTTAATTAGTATAAAACTTTGGACTTTTATTTGGTTAATAAGATTAGAAAAATATTCAATTAGCTGAAAGCCTTTCAACTTTGTTCACATTTTTTATAAAGCTGTTTTCTATCTTTTTCAATACACATAGTTTCTAATTTATGAATGACTTAGATTAGACATATTGCACACATCAAATTGTCTGTTCTTATCTTGAAAGACTCTTATCTCAAACTACAACAACAATAACCTAATCCAATAAATAAACGAGTCTTACAAGTAACGAGTGGGCAAAACTCTATAGCATAAGTGAACTCAATTGGAATTGTGAACTTATAGAAAAGAAGCAGTAAATAACGACGTAACAATTCCAGTTTTAATGGCTTAAATGTATTTAAAAGCTTAATTGATGCTAGCTTTAAATTCGATATTTATTTATACATTGAAAGTATTAACATAAATCAAATTAAACTATTCGAACACGCTCCGGTGTTGACAATGCAGCTGGTTTATTGCCAAATATGACTGTTTTTATAAGTGCGATTGCGAACAAATTGGTATTTGGTAGTTTTTTCGACCCAAATTGTTTTTCTAATTCTGATCCATAAAATAATGCAGCTCAAATTGTCAAAAAAAAAAATATGGAATAAAATATACATAAAAACACACAAATTTGTATCAACTGTTTTCTTTCTCTTTTTAAAATCTAGCTTTTTTCTACCTTTATAACTAGCCGTTTTTGCTTTTTAAAGACTGGCAGCACTGACAGCATATTGTGTGTGTCTCTCTCTCTTTCACGCTTGTGCGTTTAAATTTGTGTCAAAAAGTTGCTGATAAGATACTAATGAAATAATTACATAAATAAAATTTATGAACGCAATGAGTTTTTTTTACAACATGAACAGATTTGAATGCTTAATTGATAGCGAAAAAATACAATAATTTACAATTTGCATTGAACTGTTAAATCGCCTGGGCAAATCGCAACCTCAAACACAGCGTAAAAGTGAAAGCAGAAAAAAAGGGACAGCAAAGGAGCGTCACTAACGCATAAACTGAATCAAACAAAAAAAAACAACGAAAAAGCCGGCAATACTTAACATTATGTTAACAAAAATTGAATTAAAAGAAAAAAATATGTAAACGCGTTTTGCGCAGATAAACAAATCAAATCAACACAAAGTGTAGGCACAGCAAGCAGACATAATGATCATAAATCAAAAAAAAAAAAATAATAATAATAATAATATTAAACAAAACTGGCACAATACAAATGAGAGAAACATTGAACAGTAGCCGCCAAGAGGCCTGCCAACTGCGTGGCTGGGGCAGTCTGATTGCCGCCCAGGCGACGTCATCTGTTGTGGGCTGCTCTCAATTTCTGCCGAATGTGAAATGTGTGTGTGTGTGTGCATATGTTTACAAGTGCTTGTTGTTGTTATCGTTGTTGCTGCTGCTATTGTGCCAATAAACAGCAAGTAAATAAAATGAGTTGGCAGCTTGTCCATAGTTTGATGCTAGCTGTAAATTGAAAGTGCTGGAACATTTACCAGGCCAATTGACAAAATTTTTATTTGCATTCAATGGCAGAAATTAGCGCAAAATGTATGCAGCAACATTAATATAAAAAATTAACAACATTCTCATTTGAAACACTTTACTTGCCAATTGGAGTTGTGCTAATAATTACCAACGGCACAGTGGGGCAAAGTGCTAATGGAGCACATGCTTATTTGCTTTACTAATAAATTTTCAACATTTAAATTACTGTACACTGTATACTGGCAGACAAAATAAACAATTGAGATAAAAATACAATTAAACAAATTATAAACATTACAAGAGAACGCACGCAGGGCGCAAAACAAAAACAGAATAACGGCCAAAGCGGAGACAGCAAAAACAGCTGTTCGCAATTTATGCTACAACAATATTGCCTCAATTTGTTGGCCAAGTGCATTATTTAAATTGCGTGGAAGTTCACTTACTTTCTGCCCGTCACACGCGAACAACTACTGTTGTTAGGAATTTAACAGACTGCTTTTGTTTATTTATTTACATTTATTTTTGTATCTCTCAGCGCTTGCACGCTCATTCAGCGCGTCTTTTGCTTTGTGCCACACATTCGCCTTGAACAGCACGCGCCAGACGGCAAACCGATGCTCATGTTTTGCCCGAAAATACACAAGCGTACAATACGGAACACGCACGACACTTAAATCCGTTTAATATTATATTATAAACTTGGTTTTTAAGCAATTCCATGTATAATGTTTTAATATTTTGTTACAACGACACGCACACACCCCCCTGACACAACCGTTTTCAACAGCAGCGGCGGATAAACTGACAAAAGGAAAACAAATATGCTTGCCGTGGGGCTGCCAAGCTGCTTGTCTTTACCACAGCTGTTATGTTAGCTTACAGCGCACTGTTGTTAACAGCAACTGACAACGAGCTCTGCTATCGAAAACATGTTAGTTAACATGACCATTAACAGTTTTTGTTATTTTCGACAGCTAGCTGGCAACGCCAAGCAGTGAGTTTAAAATCGAAAAAATACGTTACACGCTCGACTTGAAATGCGTATTTTGATGCTGTTGAGCGCCTTTTTTGCAACTTTTTGCTACGCCAGCTACGATTATTATCGCCTACCACGCTCCATAAAACCGCAACACTATAACCTGCGCATTATGACACATCTGGAAGATGCCACACGCCTCTTTTTTACGGGAGATGTCGAAATTCAGCTGAGAATTCTCCAATCCACGAAGAATATCACGTTGCATGCGGGTGCCGGCTTGAATGTTCCCAAAAGCGGCATACGCCTAAAATTATTGAAGCACTATTGCAACGAACTAGTTGATATAAGCAGTGTACAGCGTCTTGCCAAATATGATTTCTACATATTGCACTTGGAGCAACAACTGCGGCAGGGACAACGCTATCAGCTGCGCTTGCAGTTCTGGGGAAGATTGGGGCGCACCATGAGCGGCTACTATGCCAGCTCGTACCGTGATAGTGCAGACAATTGCACAAGGTATACAAGATATTTCCCTAATGCATTTATATTAATATAGACTTTCAGGTTTATATCGGTGACGCAGTTTGAGCCAGCGGATGCGCGCACCGCATTTCCCTGCTTCGATGAACCCAATTTTAAGGCGACTTTCAATATTACATTAGGCCATCATGACCAATACAATGCGCTCAGCAATATGCCCATCCTGGAGAGGATACCCATGTAAGTACAGTGAAGACTGGACTTTGCGCAATGTCCAAGTGGTATTTTTCAAGATTTACAGATGCGAACGCCAGAACTGGCTGTGGAGCATATTCAAGCAAACGGAGGTCATGTCCACCTATCTGGTAGCCTATAGCGTTAACGACTTCCAGGGCTATGCCTCACAGAATCAGGAGTGTCGCGTAAAGTTTACCACCTGGGCTCGTGCCACGGCCATTAAGCAGTGTGGCTATGCGGCAAAGATTGGTCCCAGGTTGCTGGTCTATTATGAGGAGATGTTTGACATTGAATATCCCCTGCCCAAAATGGATCAGCTGGCTGTGCCAGACTTTAGTGCGGGCGCCATGGAAAACTGGGGTCTGATCACGTACCGTGAGGCGGCGTTGTTTTATGCCGAGGAGGCCTCCTCGCAGCTGGACAAACAGCACGTAGCCAATATTATTGCACACGAGCTGGCCCATCAGTGGTTCGGCAATCTGGTCACAATGGAATGGTGGAATGATCTCTGGCTAAATGAGGGATTCGCCACCTATATGGCCACGCTGGGCATAGAGAAACTGTGCAGCAAATGGCATGTCTATGAGGAGCAGATGTTGGACAATGTGCTGGCCGTGCTCAATACGGACGCCTACTGCAATACCCGGCCCATACACCAGGCAGTATGCCAGGCCAGTCAAATATCGGAGCTCTTCGATTCCATTACCTATCGCAAGGGCTCGGTTATCATACGCATGATGCACATATTCATTGGGGATGTGGCCTTTCGGCGCGGCCTCAACTGTTATCTGGTGAAGCATGCCTATAGCAATGCCAGGCAGGAGGATTTATGGCTAGCGCTGACGGAGGCGGCGCATCAATGCGGCAGCATGCCACTCGATCTGGATGTGCAGACCGTGATGGACACGTGGACGCTGCAAAAGGGCATACCCTTGATCAATGTGAAGCGGCATTATATGATGAAGACTGCGACAATTACTCAGCAACGATTTCTGCTGCATGACAAGGAGTTTGTGCACAAGAAGCTAGATCCGCCATTGGCCGAGGAGTCCTGCTGGTTTGTGCCCATCAGCTATGCCACAGACTGTTCATCGAATTTCATTGCCGCGGAACCGCGCGCCTGGCTGCGTTGCACGGAACAGCACGAGCCGTTGCCCCTGGAGCTGGAGCAGCTGCCGGGCGACGATGAGTGGTTGATCTTGAATGTGCAGGTAGGCTCGCCGTATCGCGTCAACTATGACACCCACAATTGGGAACTGATTATCAAGGCGCTGCACAGTCGAGCATTTAAGCGGATTCATGTGATGAATCGCGCCCAGTTGCTAGATGATGCACTGGCCCTTGCCTGGTGTGGTCTAATGCACTATGAACTGGCCCTCGAGCTGCTGGACTATGTGCGGCACGAGCGCGAATATATGCCCTGGCGTGCAGCATTGGATCAGCTGGGTGGCATCTATCGCATCGTGCGACACACCAACCAATACGACGAGTTTCAGGTGGGGTCGTTGCTTGAATCTAAACTTAACTCCAACTAAGACAATCCACAACAGCACTTTATGCACCATCTGCTGGGGCCCATCTATTGCCGCCTGGAAGGCATGCAGGAGGATTGCGACAATCGACATCATGCCGCACATAAGACCTTGATTAATAAGTGGGCGTGTCGGCTATCGCTAGAGGATTGCGTGGAGCATGCTTTAAGGTATTATCATCGCTGGTTCATCTCCCGTGCGCCGGACGACACAAATCCGGTGCCGGTCAATCTGCGCTCGGTGGTCTACTGCACCGCCATGCGGCATGGCGATGCGGAGGATTGGAACTTTCTGTGGCAGCGATATCGCAGCACCACAGTGGCCAGTGAGCAGCGTCTGATACTCCTCGCTCTGGGCTGCACACACAAGGTATGCCTGCTGCAACGCTATCTGAGCATTATCTACCACGAGAAGTCCTTTATACGCAAACAGGATGCTTCGCAAATCTTTGGCGCCATTTTGCGCAACGATGTGGGCTTCCACATAGCCAGGGATTTCTATATTCATAATTTCCAGATGCTGCGGGACTAGTAAGTGTTTGGCCTTTGCTGAAATCCACAAAATTTAGCTGCCTATTCGGTGCGGAGTTCGAATCTTCAAGTTTAAAATATCATTTTTTCATCCCCTTTTCGACCATGCTGGAACTTTAAACCGAGTATCTACCACCTAGTATACACAATAGCTTATTTTTATACCCTTGCATAGGATATTATAATTTTGTCGTGAAATGTTTAACGTATAGAAGTAGACATCTTCGACCGCATAAAGTAGATATAGCCATGTCCGTCTGTCCGTCTGTTTTAAAGCTATCGTCATGAAACTTTGCAGAAGTTAGAACCAGCTGGATAACTATATCGTATAGCTGCCATAGGAACGATCAGTCGAAATGTAGATTCTTATATGAAAAAATGTTTTGTTTATTAAGCTATCTTGACCAAACTCGGCATTTATTAGTTTTACTATGCTCCTCATATATATACAAATTCCTGACAACATCGGACCACCATATCATATAGCTGCCATAGAAATGTTCGGTCGAAAAAAAACTGTTTTGTTTTTCAAGATATCTTGACCAAACTCGCCATTTATAAGTATCACTATGTACCCTACATTTATGCATAAACTTATTTACCTCGGATCACTATATCATATAGCCGCCATAGGAACGATCCGTCGAAATTTAAGTTGTATAAAAAACCTGTTGTTTCTCAAGATATCTTAACCATACTCGGCATTATATATTTTCCTTGCGCTTCTTAGATACGAGCAAAGCACTATGAGCATTATGAAAAAGTTGGGCCTGCAAGGGTATTATATCTTCCTTGCCGAAGAAAGCCCATCTTGCTTGCTAACATTGGCTTCAAGGCAGCCTTCCTTTGAGCGTACAACTTGCTAATCCTGCTCTTTTTTCCACCTTAAAGCTATCATTCCAACACACGCGAGTTGATTGGACTGCTGCAACAGATTACCCAGCACAGCAGCAGCAGACGGGACTATCGCCACCTGCGGATATTCATTCATGGCCACCAGGAGCTGCTGCAGAAATCGTCGCGGAGCCTGCGCCGCGCTCTGGAGCAGGCGCAAGCAAATCTGCGCTGGCGCCAGGAGCAGCTCTGCGAATTCACCAACCAGCTCGCAATGCGCAATTGTGACTGAATTTTTACGAACTTTCTTTTTATTTTTGGTTTTGAATTTTTTTTATTTATAATTTAATTTTTCGTATATTTCATTAGTATTAAAAAGAAGGAACATTGAATGCCCCAAGCTAAGCGCTAATATTAATCACAGTACACAAGACCACTTCCATTGTCAGAAATTACAATTTAATTTGCCGAGGAAGCACCACCAGTACCAACATTCCCACCACCGCCACCGCCAGCTGCACCACCGGAGAAGGCGGTGCTGGCATTGCCCGCACTAGCCGCAAACAATTTTCTCAAATTCTGGAGCATGCCCCAGAGCACGGTACCCGCCGTGCCCAGCGTTTCGAGGAAATCGAAGCCCGTGCTATCGATGGCCTCTTCGCGATCCTCCTCAGTCTCAATCGCTGGCGAGGAATTGTTGCTATGCACCGCATGATGCACCCCACTGTGCCCAATCAAACGGTGCGAATTGGTGCGCACATGCGTATCATTGACCCCGCCGCCGCCAACGGCATTCACCAGATGCTTGACCGGCTCCAGCACCGGTATGGCCAGCTTGATGCGATGCCAGGCATCCGGCTGCTCTGTGGAGCTCTCGTGCTGCTCACCGACCCCCCCATCCAGGCTGAGCTCATCGTCCAGCGTATTGCGCTCGCTGACAGGCGCATCATCCGTGTCCAGGCTATTGTTGCCGGGTCCTTGCAACTGCAACAGGCTGCCAAAGAGCTGTTGCACATGCACCGAGTTGATGGACTCCGCCTCGTTGCGCTCAAAATCAAATTCCTTGCGTGCCCCAGCGCCAGACTTGCCATTTAGAAAGCTCACAATATGCGTAGTCCCATCACTGGTGGGCGTGGCAGCGAGCGGGGGCAACCTGCTGCTGCTGCTGCTGGCCGTAGGCATCGCCGTCGCCGTCAGGAGCCATACGAACTGCATGGAAATTATTAAAGACAATTATTATTTGAGCATATTTTGGTTGAACGAATTATAATTAGTCATTCTATATGCCAGACCAAACGCATTCGAGAACACGCGACGCGCCTTAATGAGATGGCTTCCAGCCGCTTGGAGACATTCAAACGATTTTATTATGCCCTACAGAAGACAATCAAGGTCTTTAAAAGTGATAGCGAACGCGTTCCGAATTGGGCTAAGTATGAAAAATATTTGGTAGACGCAAATCTTGACTAAAAAGGAAGCTGGAAAAAAAACGTAAGAAGAAATACCTACATACAGATACCCTGGCTTTCATAGGCTAACTTTACTGTCGATCTATTGCTTTTTCGAGAGCTTTATAACATAGCCGTCCGATATAATATGGCTTTGAAAATAGCTTAGTAGAATTGTGCTTAGGTATCTTGTAAAACAGACAAGATTTTCCCAAGATATACTTATTATATATAATATATTAGTCCGATTCTGATAAGATTTTGTTCAAATGTAAGGTGCTGGTAAATGCCAAATTTTTATCAAGATATCTTTCTGATGAATAATTGCGATCCGTCTGATTCCGATATTTATACTGTCTGCAATAAGAGGAGAGTCCTTGGCACCACATTTATCAACAACACATTTACCATATGGAGGCAAAGGTGTCTCCTATGCATCCCTAAATTCGTTAAAAATTATACTCCCATAAGGGTATTATTAAAACTTAATTGTCACAAAATGTGAAACCTCTAGCTATATATTCTTTAATAATAAAATCAGCTATATAATGCCATATCTGTCTGATTCTATACAGTCTAGTTCTTCACACTTAAGCATATATAAATGTAACTTGGCTAATAAGCCTCTTCCTTTTGTAGCTGCCACATATCGGACTTATATCATTATGGATAGAAGATTTGTTGATTATATTAACATGGAATCGATACAAAAAAAAAAATATTTTTATATACGACTAATATTTCTTTTTTGTTGTAAGCCAAGAAACAGATTCAAAGCTATTGCATTGAGTGCATATCTTCAGGTTATAAAATATATGTATATTAAAAATAGCTCAACCAAAAGCACATTTCAGGGTCTATCCAGCAAAAAACACGTAAATATTTTATATTTGTTGAGCTGAATGTCAATACAGTCTTTAGCAAGTCTTGTTGCCGATGACGAACAATAAAACCTCCAAATATGTTACATTAGATAGATATATATATTTAATGGAATTTGTTTTTAAAATATTTCGCAAATTGCAACTAAAATATTAAACGACGCGCGCTTACATGCAGAAAAATCAGCAGATATATGGTACTATGTGTGGAACTAGACAATCGCGACATTGTCAATGTTATATAAATCTATAACTATATAAATATAAATCGGATTGAAATTGAAAACGCCAGCGAAGCGCTTACAACGACAACTGAGCACTGACTGACTGCCTGAGTGGCCAATGGGCAGCCAAAAAAAAAAAAACAAAATTAATCTGAAGGTAGCCAATAAACAAATAATTAATATGCAAGAAGTGTGCCAACAATTGCCTTACCTTAAATGTATTTAATATGTTTTAGAGAGCTGCATGGATAATGCCATCCAATTCGAGAACAATGTCGAGTGCTCTCAGTCGATTATTTGTAAAAATCTTCTTGGAAATGTTTGTTGTGCCCCGAACCCATCGAATATGAATATAAAGGGTACATCGTTTTTTAAGCAATCCCCCAAAAAGGGCCTTTTTTAAAAGTAGAGCTATTACGATTTGGCATATACGCATATTGCAGCCCCAAATATATCATTAAGATCAGACAATAGACTCCGCGGCTTAGCTTATAGCGTGAGACTAAGGCGATTCTTGCCCTACGTGTTCGTTTAGAAGGTAGCTAGAGTGTTTGTAATGGCAGGTTGGCGCTGTGTTCAGGGCATCTCTTAGTCGGGCACTCCCAACTTGAACATTATTCCAGGTTTTCGTTTCAGTTACTTAGCCTACACATCGTAGTGGGCGTACACAGTTAGTTATCACAGTTAGTGTTGAATATTTAGTTTAGTCTTCACACACATCTCTTTGAGAACACACTTCAAAATATTTTTTTTTTTAAAAAAATATATGTATAAACTGAACTTTTTCGAAATTCTAAATTTTGGTGTAATGTTCTAATAAAAATATATATTCCTTCTCTATCAATTATTTTTCAAGAGTTTTGGTTAATGTTTAATTATATTTGCAGTCAATCGGTTTGCAGTTTTACTTTCGCCCGTTAAATAATTTTCTATTTCAAGATATTGGATACAAATATGCGTCTTTTTGGGAAAGTAACACATTTTCTGCATGTGAGTAATTGAAAAAAAAAACATAATGCCCTTTTTACCCGTCTTTAATGGGTTCATGGTACAATTAAGTGCTGCAGAACGCCAATAGGACAGTCTCAATTAGGTCAATAAATCACAAGGCGTTTACCGCAGACAAATATAATTTAAAAATCTTAATATATAGTTTGTATATAAATTAAGGCCAAAATATTAAGGCCTCGAGCTAGCAAGCGAGCGGACTTTGGTTCGACTCTATGCAAAATACTCTTTTTCATATAGAAAAAAGCAAAAATAATGTATAATAAGGAAATCTGATGGCGTAGCGTCAGAAAACAGGTTGAGGTGCCCTCAAGAGGCCCGCAAGAGGTTTGAATTGTACAAAGGTACGATTTTTTTAAATTGGATATAACATAAATAGCAAAAATAAGTTATTAACATGCATAGATATACTACTTAGATTAGAAAAAATCTTGGCAGGAATTTATAAGAAAATAAGTTCGGTTTTCTATCCGAGTAGGCGTTGAGAAATCAGTTGGAAGACATTTGGACTTGCCTATGTGGAATAGGAAACTATTTCAGTTAGCTTCTATGCGCCAACCAACTAACATTGCCTTTTTATTTGTATTTGTGGCATAATTTTTAATATCTCTTCAAAATTTAAAGTAACTCAATTTTGTTCCCAACTCTAAATTCAAAGTGAACGCCCATCAAATTTAATTTAAACCAAATTCAAAATTCAAAATTTAAAAATAAGAGGTGCTAAATTGCAATCGCATGGCGACATATCTTTCACAGATCTCCCGGTGTCTGAGCTATCACGCGCCAATCTGTAGACCCCATCGTCTGCTCCATGGCAGCTGCAAGCAATGGAAGAAAATCTGCTCGAACTGCGTCTGTTGGCAACCGCCGCAGTTGGTGGAATTCCTGCCATCTGTGCCAACAATGATACACGTCCATTTATATTCCCAACGGACGCCGGGCGTCTTCAGTCCGAACACCAATGTGGATATGCTGCGCAAAAGGATCAGCTTTAGCGGAACGCCAAGCGAGGCCGCCGATGGGGCACCAAATGTTGTGCCCGTTGGCATTATCATACCCGAGGCCAAAGATGGCAAGCAACTGAAGATTGTGATTGTACCATTGGACTTGGCCAATCAGGATATCGAGAGCTTGAGGAACACGCTGGAGGCGCTTAATCAGCTGCGCATGCACGCCAATGAGATCGACGCCTTTACCAACAGCATGATCGAGGACTTTAACCAGGAAAGCAAAGAAGAGACTCCTGCTATCGAGGAGCAGCCAGTCAGCAAGGAGAAATTGAACTTCTTCGAGGGCTATGTGAAGGGCATCGATGCTGTAGGCTCTTCGGCCGCCAGTAAAAATGCATCGGAGCAGCAAGATATGCAGGCGGCTACCGCGGCTCTAAGCAACGTGGCCACCGATGTGGAGGTAACACCAATAGCGCCTAGCGTGCCATTTACTCCGAGCACACCGAATGCACCAAGCACAACGCCCAGCACTTCACCCGGTACAATGCCACAGCCGATGCCCAATGTTATACCCTTGGGTGATCCAAAGGAAACGCAGATCTGTGCCAGCGCACAGCCAGAGGTAGATGAAACGGTCGCCAGTGTAGAGCCCCATGTGGATCAAATCAGCATTGAGGTGCCAGACAGCCTGGGCCAGCGTCTTAACGAAATGGCCATTGCATCCATGCATTTGTCCTTTGAAATGGACATGTCCAACGTGCGCGATGCCATAATGAATGGCGACGCACCCGAAAAAACGGAGGCCACATTGGGCAACGATGCGATGGTCTTTCTAGAAACCAAAGTAGAAGCAGATCCAGAAAACGCACCACTGAATACGGTACCACTGCGCTTCAATGCCCTGATCAAAGGCACGGTTCAAATTGATGCGGACAAGCTCAATCCAGATCAACTGACCGAAGCACTGTTGCCAGAATACAATGATGCAGTCACCTCCATTGCCGCCAGCGTATGCAGCACGGCGCTACAGAGTGGATTTTCCTCCGACAACGCTGCCGAACAGCAGCCAGAGACGGCAGAGTCGATGCCGATGCCGACTCCCAAGGCCAAGACTGCGGCAAATGCTCGCATGGCAATGAAACGCAATCAGGCGATGAAGCGCATGAAGCAGCATCATCACCGTCCCAGAATGAGTACAGTGCCTGTGCCGGATGTTCAGAGCCCGTACTTAAAGGATGGATGCAAATATCCTGTTATCAAGCCAAAAAAGAAGTGCCCCAAGAAGTGCCCGCTACTCGATGACCCCTGCAAGGAAGATCCGTGCAAGCGTCCACAGGAACCGAAAAAAAAGACGCAAAAGAAGAAAGCGCTTCGGACCGTCGAAATAACTGCCAAGAGTTCCGGTGACAAAAAAGATAGCAGTGCCAATAAATGTGCTAGTGACAAGAAAGATCCCTGTGCCAAGAATGGTGCCGGCGGCAAGAAGGGAGGTGAAAAAAAAGATCCTTGCGCTAAAAAAGACGATAAAAAGGATAAATGTGCTAAAGAGGACCCATGCAAAAAGAAGGATCCATGCGCTAAAAAGGACGATAAAAAGGATAAATGTGCTAAAGAGGACCCATGCAAAAAGAAGGATCCATGCGCTAAAAAGGACGATAAAAAGGATAAATGTGCTAAAGAGGACCCATGCAAAAAGAAGGATCCTTGCGCTAAAAAGGACGATAAAAAGGATAAATGTGCTAAGGACGACAAAAAGGGTAAAGATGATAAGAAGAAGGACCCATGCGCAAAGTTTAAGAAGGGCGGCAACGGAGATAAGAAGAAAGATCCTTGCGCCAAAAAAGACGATAAAAAGGATAAGTGCGCCAAAAAAGACGATAAGAAGGATAAGTGCGCCAAAAAAGACGATAAGAAGGATAAGTGCGCCAAAAAAGACGATAAAAAGGATAAGTGCGCCAAAAAAGACGATAAAAAGGATGATCCATGCAAAAAGAAGGATCCTTGTGCCAAAAATGGAGGTGATAAAAAGGGAGGCAAAGGCGACAAGAAGAAAGACCCTTGCGCCAAGTTTAAAAAGGGCGATAAAAAGAAAGTTTCTTGCGCAAGTAAAGACAAAAAGGATAAATGTCCCAAAGAGGATCCTTGCAAAAAGAAATATTCCACATTTAGTAGCCCCGTCTCAAAATTCTATCATTCCAACAGCTCGCATATACCCTTCATCCGCAACCCCAACCGTTTCATGTCAACAGCCATATTTAACCATAGTCCCCAAGTGTTCTCAGAGAAGAGTAGTTCAAATTTAATGCATAATCTGAGGACCTACACCACGGTGTGCCACTACAGTGCTCTACCAGCTGAGCAAAAAATGAATTCCTCTTGCCCCCTAAACGAGAGCAACTACCTCAAGTCGCCCGCGAAATTCTCGGTCTACTCGACTCTTGTGCGCCGGCATTACGGCGGCATGCCCACCATCACACAGATGGGCGCCTGGGGCATCAGATCGTTGAATGTGCGTCAACTAATCCAGCGTGGCTATAGTAAGAAGTCCAAGAAGGGTAAGGAGTTAAAGGCGGGCGATAGCAAATGTGCAGCTCTGGCTGACAAGCCCAGCATAAAGAAACGCAAGCACATTAAGGCGCGTACGGGTCTGCGTACAGATTGCTATGAGAAGTTTGGAACAGAATGTCCAAAGGTATTCTGTACTGGCAAATGTGACGAAGTTAAGTTTCCGCGCAAAAAATGCGACAAATCGGAAAAGAAGCCAAGAACCGTGGTGCCCAAGAAACCAAAGAAGCAGCTGCCCCCCATATGCATGGTAAATAAAGAGAAGGACAAAAAAGATAAAGGTGCGTGTGTTAACTCAACGTATTAAATAATACCACACTAACTATGTCCATTACTTGTAGATAGAAAGAAATAAGCTCCTTACCACGGGCTCTTTCACTATTAACCAAATGCGCATGCACAGCAATTCAGCGCACAGCAAAAGGGGCTACAACTCGCAGATCAATAAGGCAGCATTGAAAATGTGTCCATCCGATGAGGAATTGCCAGACTCTGTGATTGAGGTCATACGCATACCCGCATCGTATCAAATATGTAAAGAGCACCTGCCGAGACCGGAGCTAAAACCATTCGGTAAGACTCCCATGTGAAATGCATACTACAGATTCTAATCTGTCTTCAAACAGATGTCCTTATTAGCACTGGCTCGATAGCACTCACTGGATCGGATATACATGTATATGAGAATGCAAATCGGGATCTGGAGGGCATGACCTTGGGTCACGATGCCACCGGCTTTGTGGAGCAGGTTGGTAGCTGTGTTCAACATTTACATGTAGGTGATCGTGTCGTCATGGAATCGGCGCTGTCCTGTGGCGTTTGTGATTATTGCAAACGGGGCTTGTATAACATCTGCGCCGATCTGGTATACAACGGTTTCTTGGCTACCCATCAGTCGCATCCGGCTGATCTATGTCATAGACTGCCCGATAATATTAGCATGGAAGAAGGCACACTCACCCAAACGCTGGCAATGGGCTGTCAGGCATGCTTCAAGGCCAACATCTCGCCCACAAGCAACGTATTGATCATTGGCTCCACCCCCACAGCAGTTGCGGCGGCGATGTGTGCGTCGGCAATTGGCGCCCGAAAAGTGACCATTGCTGGGACCATGAGCTCCTCACTGGAAATGATAAGAAAGGAATTTGGCTTCAATATAATACACTTTGATACGAATGCACTTTTCGGTGAGGTGCTCGAAGCAGTGTACAGCAAATTCCAAGAATGGCCCAATTGTGCCATCAACTGCGCCATCACGCCGATGACCATGAATTTGACCGTGATGGCATTGCAACCATGTGGTATCTGTGTACTAGCCGAATGCGAATCCGAATGTGCCAGTTTCAATGCTCTCGACATACTCATGAAGAACATACGCCTAATACCAAGCTTTCGTTCCGCCAATATGTAAGTGGAATACAAATCTTAGAATTTAAATTAATCCCACCCGTTTGTAGGTATCCAACGGCCTTGCAACTTATGAAATCTGGTCGCGCACCAATGCATAAATTCATTGCCAAAACGTTTTCATGGAGCATGATAGAGGATGCGTTTAAAAGTGCACAGCATGAGTCGAACGTTGGCTTGCGAAAAATTATCGTTAATAATATAGAAGAAACTAACATCGGGGGACTGTTCAAAAAAAACTAAAATCAATTTCAAAGACCAATTGATCGATAATAAAAATTTTTTGTTCTCTTAAGGTAATGCTGTACATAAAGACCAAATGGCGGTGTAATAAAAAATAATACATTTGATACAATTTTCACTCTTAAACGCCATGACTACTGGCAACTCGCCTGACCGCCAGCATATCCTTAGGAATATTAGGCGGAGGACGATGAGGACAAATTGAGCAGACGTGTATAATTGCGTGAGGTTTTTATTTATGCTTGTTTTAAAATACACAATATTTAACATTTTGTATCTCAGCATCTATGAATCTCTCTCATTATAGACTATTTAACGACCTGTTCGTAAGTTATATATTTATAAAAATTATTGTACTTCGCTGCTTACAACAAACTATTTTACAAATTTACATACGCAACTAAACTGAGACGTGCATTTTAATTGTATGCTAAAGGAATCAATGTGCACACAACAAATCAACGAAAATTATAAAAATCAAACATAACATAATCGTAAACATAAACAATAGCATAGTGCAGTTTTCATTTCTGTCACTTTAGCTGCATCGCGTTTGGACATTTGAGTATAAATAATAGATTAAGAGCTAACTAATCAATATGCAAAGATATGTATGTAGGTATGTAAGAGTGCCTGTGACTGATTTCTGGACTGCATCTGGTTTCTATGTCTGTTTACACGTAATTCTTGTTCCCTGGGTGGTTTTGTCTATTTGTTTAAACCACTTTTTGTGTTCGTACCAAAAAGCAGTTGAATTTGGCTAGAACAAAGCACTTACGCTATAATGTAAGTTATGGTAGCACATATATATAATTATAGTAGAATCGTCAGTTTAAAAAAATAGCTAAGCTTGACGCTACGGTCAAGCGTTCACTTTTGTAGGTAGTTTCTCTTTTGGTGTTGTTTTTTTTTTTTACAATGCATTCATTGAACTTTTCATAAAACATGGTATTCTTGCTTGCTTTGTTTTTAATGATCGTGTATTTGCATTTCCAACTCGACGTCCGAGAGGTTTATTTCGCGCAGTGAATTGATGTACATGTACCGCGATGTGTAGATATAGAGCCAACGGAACCATTTCATTTGCGACTGATGCTCTAGCATGGCGCCTCTGATCACAGACGCCTCTTTCCAGCTGAGTATGCACCTGGTATAGGACAAGCTATATTAGATGATCTTAATACCGAAAAATATGTCATACATACCAATGCGTGGACATAAAGCAGGTGCACAGCAAATCAAAGATCGATAAATATTTGCGTACCAAATTGATCGAGTCTAGCGTATAGAACTTACAAGCTGCAATATGGCACATAAAAAATGTGTACCAAAAATATGAAAAATTATGGCTATAATTAGAAAACGTAACGTTAGCAAAACAACAACAAAAACAACAATAGCGGCTACAATTAACATGACAATTAACATGTGCAATGCGGTCTGTAGACGGTTTGTTGTGTTTTGGTTGTTGCTGCCGCTGCCAACCCGTGACTCACCCTTAGGCAATAAATTGGCTAAGCACAAAGAAGCGGCAGCATAATACACAGCACAATGATTGGGATGAGAGCTGACCCCATCGCGATCGAAGGTGAATATCGCCTTTATATCAAGACTCTCAACGGTATGCAATATAAAGCTGGCAACCGCATCCGTTCGCCATTCAACATTCGGATCATCTGGCAAATTGGTGGCATTCACTAATATAACATTCGATTCGGCAATGCCCAAACGTTTACATGCCCGAAATAGCTCCTCTCGCCGGAATTGAGCCTGCTGATCATAGTTGCCTAATGATGGAAATGTGGAAATTTAATTGGTTTATTAGCCTGATGGTTTCATGAAAGCGGCAGGGGATGCAGGTATTTCTCACCATTTGACAGGCATAACACGTACACCTGACAGCCATCGCGCTGTGTCAGCGAGTAGATCAGCGGACCAAAGAACATGCATTCGTCATCCGGATGTGCGATGACCAAAAGAACGCGACCCATTAACGCCGTCTTGGGCAGATGAACGCTACGCAAACGCAGACCATTTTGCAGGGCATTGCGCAAGCCATTGCTGGCGTTGTCATCGTTGCCGCCATGCTGCTCCTTCCTTTCCTCTGGTACGCCAGTTACTGAAGCCGAAAGCCAAAAGGTTAGCTTGTAGAGGCCCAGGCATACTAGCAAGTATACCGCACATGCAATCAGTAAATGCTCCAGTGCTTCAGCTGATGTGGACTTGATGCGGCAATAGATGGCTTGCGGGCTCAGCAGTTCCAGGCGTAGCTCGGTGAATGGGCGTGTGACAGCCTCGTGTAAAGCACTAGCGTTTATTAAATTGGCCAAGTATTCGCTTAGCCAGCTAAATTTCATTTCATTGCGTTTGCTGCGTTTGTGCTGATTTTCGTTTGGCAAAATTTTTCACCAAAAATGGACAAAAAATAAAATTTAACAAAAGTATGTGTTTCGCTTCAGTTGCTGTGCGCTTAAAACCAATTATTTAATAATACTAAACTAAAAAACACCTAAATAATTCAACTTATTGTGTAATTTAATACTTTAAATGGCTTCGTAATCTACGCGGTTGCACTAAAAAAATTGCATTTTATTTTTGCGCTGCGTGTTATTTCATGGGGGGCAACAACTAGGGATGAGCGCGTGAAATGCCAGAGCCCGAATATCGTGTCCATGCGTATATACACGACAGCTAAGCAACTAATTTGAAAAGATTCATGTAATCACCTGTACGTGCTAAACGAGGTCAACTTGATTCTGGATGCATTGGCACATCTGTGTGAAAATAGAAAGCGCAAGCGTCTATACAGCTGTATGTCGTGAGACTGATTGCCATCATCAGCAGCTGTCAGCTGTTCAATGCAGGCGTAATCGATAGGCGATAGTGCCAAGCAGATAACAAAAACAAGCTATCGATATATCGCTTCATATGCACCTCTAGTGCCGAATTAATGAAGGAGCAATAAAATTTTTTTGATTCAAAAAATTTGCTAGTTAATAATTTGTACAATAATTTTATTGTGTTTTATATGCCTTTAACTGCTCCCGAATTTCCCGCCAGAGTGGTGCGAATGCTACCCAATTCAGCAGACAGCCAAACGTGCCGGGTTTAATTCAAGCGGCATTTGGGAGACACCAAAAAAATCTACAATAAAAAATACAACAAAAAGCGTGTGCGTTGCTTGTGGCCTGCTGTAATTAGGTTAAAAGTGGAAACAGCTGAAAACAGCAGCAGCAACGTGTGGTTAGAGAGACCGTCACCTGCAGCAATATTAATCAAAAGCAATGGCACACCAGCAGCAGGGCATGGATTCGGCATTGTTCGAGCGACGACTACGGCCGGTCTACGGTTAGTCAAATTGTTTATATATATATATATATATATATATATTACATCAATATTGATGTTGCCTTTTGCTCAACAATTTACAGATAATCTGGAAGTAGGGAACAATCGTAAGGCACTACAGGAATCGGAAAAACTGCTACGCAAACATCCAAATTTACTCTGCGCACGTGCTCTCAAGGTAAAACGGCAGCCAAGAAATATATCATCTGAACGCATTTGAAATCTTTGAATTTTCTTGACCATGTCTAGGGATTATCGTTGCTACGCCTGGGCCGCTACGAAGAGAGCCATAGCTGCCTGCAAACCGTAGCCGAAGAGAAGCCCGTAGACGATTCCACGTTGCAGGTGCTCTCCTTTTGCTATCGCGAAATGGAACAACGTAAGAGAGACAGACACACACACATCTATCTACCATTGGCGACCGTTTCATATTTATAAGTATATTTCTTGGCACGCGCACACGGTCAGGCAATTAAAATTGCCTTCGCACTCGCTTTCATTTGCGCAGAAATTAGCTAAAGCAATGATTGCTGGCGGGACGACAGGCGGACGGGTAAAAATGCGCGTGCCAAGAAATCAAACTGATCTTTATGTACCTGGTGTGCATCTATATATTTTACCCGGTGCCCATAAGTTGAGTAAAAGGGTTTGATAATGTACATATGCAAGTAATGGGCACAAAAACATATACTAAAGTATATCCTTATACCCTTGATTAACATAAACAGTCGTTATAGCCACCCACGTTTCCACACAGCTGTCCGTCTGGAATGTAGCCGCTCGCATATTAAGTTTTATTTTTCATTCGACAATTAATGTTACGCCAATTTCCAGCTGTTTACATGGTATCTACTATTCGAGTACATACGACTGCAGCCCTCATTTTTTGTGCAACTAACATTGTGCAACTAATTGCTGCTCAGTTCGATTAATCATCATTAATTCAACTAATCAAATTACCTTCTCTGACCTTGCAGTGGACAAGATAGTTGAACTCTATCAGCACGCTGTCAAACAGAATCCGGGCAATGAGGAGCTGCTGGCACATCTATTCGTATCGCATGTGCGCGTCGAGGATTACAAGGCGCAGCAAGCGGTTGCCCTGCAGCTGTACAAGGCCCAGCCAAAGAATGCCTATTACTTTTGGTCTGTTATTAGTGTGGTATTTCAAGGCATACGTGGCCCTGAAAGCTGCATTCCCGAGAAGCGTAAGCTTTATTTGGCGCTGGCCCAACGCATGGTTGACAAGCACATCAAGGAGGGCAAGCTGGAGACAGAGCAGGAGGCTTTCCTGTATTTGCACATATTAAAGCTACAGAGCAAGTACCAGGATGCCTGGGATTTCCTAACCGGTGAGCTGTGCGCCAAATTATATCCTGGCGCGCCCGTTAACATGAAGTTCGAGCTGCTTAAGGAGCTGGGCAACTGGCTGGCACTGAACAAGCTACTGCAACAACTTCTCGAAGCCGAGTAAGTACCTAAGACTTAATGCGTAAGTATAATTAAAAAATGTTGCTCGTACGCAGTCGCGATCGCTGGGACTACTACAAGGAGTATCTGGAAAGCTGCTTCGAGTTGTTGAAGCAGCAGCACGTAGAACAGGATCAGCCGATTTTTACGCTCAACACTTGCCTTGATTTTCTATTGCACATCATTGAGTCATCGACGCGCAAGACTCGTGGTCCATATTTGGCACGTCTGGAGCTGCACCAGCGCATGCGTGCGAAACAGCTGCCGGCACAGGAGCTTATCGGTGACTTTGACGAACTGATCATTGAGTATTTTAACCTGTTTGGCGATAAATCCTGCTGCACCCACGACATAGCACTGTTTCTACCCTCCATAAGCATGGAGCAACGTCAATCGCTGGCCAACAAACTACTACTAGAAAGCGGCATTAGTTCTAACAGCTTGCCGCAAAATGTTAGTAATGCTATAAATTATTTATACATTTATCTAATTAACTTTCTGTTTGTAGAAGGAGCACATGCAGAAGCATATTTGTGCTCTGCAAATTTCTCGCATGTGTGGCGCTCACATTGAGCTGGCCACAGAACATATGCTAGCCTTTTATACGGCGCTCAAGTTACACTATGAGCATGGGCATAGTTCATTTGGCAAACAGCTGCTGTCTACGGAAATGGGACCCTCGGATCCGTATGCACTGCTGGCGGCTAATGTTATGTACGATATTTCCATGCGGGAACACAAATCGGATCAGCTATTCGAAGCGTTATGCCTGCTGCAATATGTGTTGCGCAATAGCACCAGCAATTTCCATATTAAGCTGCTCAGTTTAAAAATCTATCACATGTTCGGATGTATGGTCGGCGCACAAGAGATGTACGACTATTTGGACATTAAGCAAATCCAGTTAGACTCTATGGGATATGTGCACTGCAACCTTTTGCCGCTGTCCGGCCGTTTTTCCGGCGTGCGTAATTGCTACGATACCACATTGAAGTTCTTCACCAATAGCTATAAGGAGCGCCTGGAGTATATAGCGTTGACCTATCGCTTCTGCACATTCTCAAAAATGGAGGAGTTTATGAACTTCAAGGAGCGCCTCACAAACAGTCTGCTTTATGTGGCCTGCTCAGTGGAGGCTCAGCTGTGCGATCTAGTCAGCTGCTATGGCAACATTCAGCAAAATCTATCAGCCTATGTGGCCATGAGCATAGAGCCGGCCGAGGATCGCATAGCCTGGCATGAGTTAAGCGACAATCGTGATTTGCAGGCAATAATACGCTGGGATCCACTGCATTTGGATAACACGGAAGCTGAGCGTATGGAGTCATACGAACAAGAGATCGAGGTGCTACAATTGCGCTCACTGCTTTTACGCTTGTTTGCCTCCTTTATTGACTTGTATCATCCACCGCCCAGCGAAAAGCTAGCCATTTCGAACAACAAAACGACGACGCTAGCGCCGGGCGAGGATTTAGCGACGCTGGAACTTTTACGCACATCATGGACGGGCCTGTATCAGCGTCTGCGTCTAATGAATTATAAGCCGCTATCGCAACGTTTTCTAGTCAATTTGCAGCCCACGCGTCTTCATCTGCTGCTAGAGATACCATACGAGCGTTTTTTTGATGACTTGGCCCAGCTGGTGCTGGATCTTTACAGTGGTGCATCGCAGCTGGCACTGCAGTGCAAGCAGGTCAGCGAGAATGTTGCTGCCGTCATGGAGCTGTGCGTGCAGACAATCACGGAGAGCAATGAATGGAATGGCATGGATGGTCTTTGGAAGCGGCGCGAACATCAACAAAAGGTGGCCGCCTGTTTAGAGGTTAGTTAAAGTTGTGGGTATTGTACAGTCAGATTGTTTGATGTAAACTCTTCATTTATATATAATTGCAGATACTCTCACTTTATGCCTTCCTGCTATCGGTGCTAAATGACAAGCTGCAATGCAGCGCAAAGACAAAAACAAAAAAGAAAGCATCGGCTGATAACAAATCACAGGAGCCGATTAGCGAAAAGGAGCGCAGCCAAATGCTGCAGGAACTGATGCGTCAGTTGAAACATAAACTGGAGGCCTGTGATGCAGCTATACGTAAGTTAATCCTATAATTAAAACAGCATATTGAACTAATAATATTGAATCCATAGGCATCTGGAAACCGCCTACACTGCCGCGAGACCTGAGCTCGTTCATGGCCGACATGTCACTGAAACCAGAGGTGGAGGCTACGTTAATAGGCGATGTGTCAGCCACGTTTAAGGAGTCCCATGAGCTAATGGTCACCGAGTTGCGCAATTTGTTAAAAGACAAAATACGCATGATTGGCAAATAGGACTTCCCCCATTGACTTTGCTGTGCAAAGTCTTGATTTATCTTCCCCAGTTGCGCTATCTATATTTCCAGTCATCCAGCCCAATTTGTTATTTAATATTTTAAACAAGCTCGCTACCCTATAATACACTATTTCATCTAATTACAATCACCAATCAAATTACATTATTGTGCACATTTTTTCGGCATTTTTTATACAACAGTTGGTAAACTTAAAACGTGCTTGATCAAATTAAAAAAAGAAATAAAACGATACATAAGTTAAAATAAAATGAGATCAAATCCTATAAATTATCTTAAATTTAATGCATTTAACAGAAACATTTTTCTCATCAAATTTTCAAAGCAGAGACCTCAATAGATATATTATATAGCTCCCATCAGAACTGAAGGTCTCAATCGTATGGGAGTATATCGAAAAATAATCGTTAGTAAACAAAGATACACGTTCTTGCCGTTTCTTATTAGATTAGACACCTGTGATACTTTCAAAAATTCTCTGCAGCTACATTGCTGCCAGCGTTGATGGCCTTGAGCGTTTGTAAATAGGCAGAGGTGCGGGGATCGTTGCTATGCTGTTGCGTATGGAGGTGAGCCACCAAATTGTGATGGCGTGCAAAGCTTTTGTTGCACAGTCTGCATATGTGTGGCTTCTCGCCGGTGTGCGTTTTGTAGTGCACCTTCAGCACATTGGCATACGTAAAAGACTTGCCACAGGTTCCGCACGCATAGGGACGTTCATTGCGATGGGTGCTACAAGTGCAAAATACAGGTTTAAATTAAAATGTTAACACATATCTGTTGCACATACCGTTCATGCTTGACTAAAGATGTGCGATCAGTAAAACTGCGCTGACAATATTGGCAGCTATAGGGTCGAGCGCCTGTGTGCTGGCGAATATGCCGCATTAGCTGATAGTTGACATGGAATGACTTTTGGCAGATTCTAAGTGGAAAAAGAGTAGGAGGCAAGTTGGATAGCAATTTTTAAGATTCTATACGACATAACTTACTCGCACTCATATGGTCGTTCATTGTTGTGTCGTCGCAGGTGCGTGTCGAGTGTGCTCTTGCGTGGATAACTGTTTCCACAAATGTCGCAAACATGTGGCTTGCCAGCGGATGCGTGTGTGGGCACAGTCTCTTCGGCTGGCAACAATATGACATTTGTTTCCACTTCAGGCACAAGATTGGTGGGCACTTCTTCGATCAGTTCGTCATTGCACCAAGTGCCTTCTTCCAGAACCTCCACTTCCAATTGTTCGTACGTTTGTGCTGCCGGTGCATCTACAACCTGCTGCTGCAGCGTTTCTATCTCCTCATCTCTTAGTTCTTTGCATATGTATTCGCGCAAGAAATTATCTGAGTGCCGGCAAATCTGTCGGAATTTGTGCGCCAGCGTTAGAAACGCGCGACATTTCAAGCAAATGCGGGTGGGCAGCTCTGAGGTGCGTACCATCTAAAAAAAATATAATTTATAGCTTTTACTCTTCGGAGAAAACAGAAACCCTACCGTAATCCCGCTGCAGTTTTCAATTTTCTCACATATGGAGACACCATGGTGCTCCTCATCGCGCTCGTAGATGGATACCATATGTGTATCGCTGTCCTGTAGGCAAATTCTACACACGGCTGCAATGTCCATTAAGAGCTCAGTTGTTGCCATTATACAATTACTTTAAATATTTTTATTATTTTTACTTCAGCTTGAATTGGCGATGTTTATATTTTGAAAAATACCATATTTATAAAAAATATCGCGAGACTTTAATTATCGTAATCGATAGCAAAGAATCAGTCATTTATCTATAAAGTATCGATTCTATAACAGAAAAGTGTTAATTTTTTCAAATATATAAATATCTAATTAATTTTGATATGTAAGTAAAATGAACACAAATTGTTTATAGAACTACCTTTTTGTCTTCATTGCGAACGGTTTAAACTTAAGAAAACTATATCGAAGTCGATACCAAAATATAGAAGCATCGATATATTTATATTTGTACAGCAACCCTAATTGTCCACAACATTGTAGTTGAGCACTATGGACAATACGGGAACAAATTGCAGGATTTGTTTGCTGCATCCGAAAACTGAGACGCTTATACCCACGGCGTCCGATTTCTTTTCACAAATAGAACAATGCACGGGTGTGCTGGTAAGCAATAATAATAAATGTAGTTAAAATACAAAATTGCAATATAATAATATCATCTCCAGTTAACACAAGATGATCGAATACCGAATAAAATATGCACAAGCTGTGCCTTGCTGCTGCGTGCTGCTTTGAAGCTGCGTTCTATGTGCCAGCAGACAGAGAGGCAACTGCAAAAGCTCAAAAAGGAACAGACGCAGCAGCAAATGCAGTTGGACAGCGCCAGTGAAACGGAGTTTATCGAATCCTACGACGTGACACTGGAAACGGCTAGCATTTCAGGCAGCCAGGGCAGCACAGATGGCATCACAATAAAACCTGAAAATCCAGCGCCAAGAACTGTTTTCGCTCACAGGCCCAAGCGTCGTAATCGCACCGTTGCTGAAGTGCCAGCCACATCTAACCCAGAGACCACCAAACCTCTGGCCCTCACCTATGTTTGCAACATCTGCAATAATGTCTACACGGAGAAAGTAAAGCTAACTATGCATCTTAAGCTACACAGCCTGCACAAGCCGCACGAATGCGAGTAAGTTGACCAAATTAACTGCTCTCACTGGCTCTAATCCTGTTCATTATGTAGAATTTGTCATAAGCGTTTTCGTCAGACGCCACAACTAGCGCGGCACATGAACTCACATACTGGGCTGCGCCCATACAAATGTGATTATTGTGATGCCTCCTTTGCAGATCCCTCCACGCGGATTAAGCATCAACGGTAAAGTACTGCATTTGAATCCTTTCTTGTATTTATATGTCTGTTTTTTTTAGCATCCACACAAACGAAAGGCCATATAAATGTAAGTACTGCCAGAAGTCCTTTGCCTACTCCAATGTGCTTAGCGTACATCTGAAGATCCATACTGGCGAGCGACCATTCAGCTGTCAATTTTGCGGTCGACGGTTTTCCCAAGCTCATCACAAGAACACACACGAACGCTCACACAGGGCACACAAACAGCTGGACATTGCTGTGATTACGTTGGAGGAGGAGTAATGGCCAGTTGGATTAGAACTTAAGCAGGCACTTGTAGTACAATGTCAAGATAAGAAATCAAGTCCTATTTACAATTGACCCAAGATATGAATTTTTGTCTATGCGTAACACGTTTTAAGACAAAATTATAATAGTCTGTAGCTTATACTAAAACTGAATCAAAACTTTATCACTGTATTCAATCTAAAAGATCATTAATGGAAAACAGTTGTATAATTGGTTTTACAATAATAATTTGGCTTATTTTTTGTTGTATAAATGGGATCAATTATGAATGCTCCTTTTAAGGAATCAAAAAACAATTAGCACACAACTTATTAAATAATATCAAATAAAGGCTAACTTTAAAATTATTTGTACGAGGCCTAAGCCGATGGCAAAATGCCAATAACCATATCGGACATGTCATCCTTAATACGTTCCGTTGTCTCCATATCCAAGTCAACTGGCTTCCAGGGTCCTCGTTTTTCGTGCGTCACACGATGCAAACGCATTTTATATGCCTTAACAAAACCTTTTCCGCACAGATCACAACTGCAAATGCAAAGTGAAATTGTTAGCTCGGAGATTAATATGTGATTACACAAAACTTACACGTGCGGTTTTTCACCTGTATGTATCATCTTATGGAATTTCAGATTGTCTGAATAGGTAAAGGTTTTAAGGCACACATCGCATTCGTATGGGCGCTCCTTCGTATGTATGCTGTGGATATGCATTAATTAGATTGTACAATAGTAAATTGTGACTTCGGTGCTCACCGATGATGCTTGGTCTTGGTGGAGCGATCGGCGAATGCAGCTGGACAAAAATTGCATTTATAGGGTCGATTGCCAGTGTGTGTGTTCATGTGCCGCACCAGCTGCTGGTTCTGAACAAACCCGCGACCACAAATTCTGCCGAGTGTACAATGGATTATTTAAGATGTTTAAAGGTTTTTTGAGTTATGCAAAACCTACTCGCACTCATGCGGTTTGACGCCACTATGGAATTTCATGTGCTCGGTCAGCCTTGCCTGGGAAGGATAAATATTGCCACAAACATCGCAAATATAATTGGAGTGCTTGTCTCGCGGCTTGCGCCCCATTTTCTTCTCCTCGTGCTCGCCGTTTATTGAGCTCGTCGTCATCTTGGGACGCTGTTGTACTTTGCGCGGCTGTCGTACGCGATTTAGAAGGCGCGGCTGCGCTTTAGCCTCCGGCAAATAGCTGTCGTCATCGGAGCTTAAGATGTCCTGGGTGACATCGTCATCTGGCACCTCGGTCCAGACAATTCGCCGTGTGCTCCTGGTAGTTTGTTCTGTGCTGCTGCTTGGGGGCATTGATTCGGCCGCCAAGACCTCCAGCTCTTCATATTCGGCAAAGTTTTCGGTGTCTGTTTCTGTCTCGATTTCTGCCTCCGCCACCTCAACAACTGTTGCGCCATCATAGACAACGGCATTTTGCTCATCCTCCGTGTTGGTGGCATCATAAACAATGGCATCCGTATCATCACCCGAGACTACGTAATTAATAAATTCGGAAGCCGTATCTTCAACGTCGTGTTCAAGCTTAATTTGTGCGTTAATTGGATTTGTCTGCTCCTCCCAAGCACGTGCAATGGCCTCGGCCTCAGCCTCTTCATCATCGCCCGCTCCCAGGTGCGTGTCCATATCCGTGGACAGCATGTCCGCAATATGCTGATGCGATCTCTGGCAAGTCAGGCGAAATTTATAAGCCACGCGCAGCACTCGCACGCATTTGCTGCACATTTTGTCGGGAAAATTATCATCAACGCTGACCTGAAAAATTTCAAATTGTAATTGTAAGAACTTGCCGTGGATGATATTATTAATACATACGGGGATCCCAGCACAGATGTGCAGCATCTGATCTAGGCGGGTGCTGGCATTTTGGCTAAATATGTCTTGCAATATATCTTCGCCCTCGTTGGGATTGTTAAGGCATACCCGACAGACTATCCATTTTTCATTTAATTCGGTTTTCATAACTATCTAATTGTTGCAAATCATACAAATACAAGGAAAACTTTTATTTTGGCAAATTATAACAATAATGGAAGCGTCTCTTGCTGTGCTTGCCATTCACTGCGCACTATTCACATACTTATTTTTAGTATTTATCTATTTAGTATTTTTAATGAAATGTACTTTTTAACAAATATTTTTACAAATAATAGAAAATGAGCCAGGAATATGTACTCTAGTCATGTTTAAATAGCACTTTAAACTTAATTATGCATATATATTTGAAGAGATTGGAATTATAAAGCTAAAAAAAAAAATGGCACTACAAAAAATACCAAATACAATGTTGTGATGGTCGCCCTAATAGCTACCATTCACACAACAGCGCAAACAGCTTGGATTTTTGCCTTTAATATTTTTATTTAACAATTTTTGGCGTCGGTTAGAAATAATTGAATATTTGTGCATTCCTTGCGGTAGTAAAATTTTAAGCGATGCCAACAACAACGACTACAACAACACAAAAATGGATAGTATGCCGCGTGTGCTTGCAGCAGCCCAAGGAATCGATGGGTAGCATTTTCAATGACGACGCATCCAAAGATCTGACCAACATGATTTTGGAATGCGGCGGCGTACCTGTAAGCTGACCAACATGATAAAAATATAAATAAATAAGCATAATTATATTGATACTAATGCCATGTGTACTGTTTTCAGATAAAAAAATTCGATCATTATCCAGACAAGATATGCGACAAGTGCTTAAAGAATTTACACATTGCGTTCAAGTTTCGGCGAGTTTGCCAGCGCTCCTACAAACATCTGAGGCAATTCATAGCGCCTGTTGTGGTGGAGCAACTGTCGGCAGAGGAGGATGGCAATGTGCTGGGTGTAGCTAATGATCCAGCGGGCACAGAACTCAGCGAGGGACATGCGTTGGTGGGCAGTGAAGAGAACAATGATGTAAACGAGGATGTCAAAGAAAGACTGGTGCATGTGAAAAGTGAACAGGTGGAGGAGGATGGTATTATTGAGGAACTGTACGATGTATATGAAGCGTATGAAGGTGAGCTGGTCACCGAACAGCCCGCCCACTATGAGGAGGAGGGAAACGGTGAAGATGAAGACGATGACATGGGCGAGCATTCAATGTCGGGTCTGTCGGCAAACATTGAGTATCTTGATCAGTTAGATCAGGATCAGTTAACGGAAAGTGCACACGAGGATGAAATAGAAGTGCAAAATTCATCTGACGAAGAATTTCTGCCAGTCAAACCGCGTACGATCTCCACACGCTCCGCCAGCGCTGGGGCCAAGCGACGTGTGAATACGCGCAAAGTAGCGACTGGCAAAACGTCATTTAGTAATATTAAACGTCAGAAATGTAGCGTCACCACGACAAACATTATACTGAATCCCGATGAGAGCATCACCTTCGGGGAGACAACAGTGCGCAAGACCACCGGAATTAAGACTAAAGGTGGCCACAAAATTCTCGTGGGCGATAAGAAGGAATTTAAATACATATGCGATATTTGCGGCAATATGTATCCATCGCAGAGTCGTCTTACCGAGCACATTAAAGTGCATTCTGGCGTCAAGCCTCACGAGTGCGAGTAAGCATGCCAGCAACTTACTTTTCCAGTTTGATTATTGAATGAATATTTTTTTTTTATAGAATCTGCGGTCATTGCTTTGCCCAGGCGCAGCAGCTGGCTCGACACATGAACACGCACACGGGCAATCGGCCCTACAAGTGCAGCTATTGCCCGGCCGCCTTTGCGGATCTTTCCACACGCAATAAACATCATCGGTAAGTTATAGCCGGCGTCGTAGGTTTACTTATGTGTAATTACTTGTTGAAAATTTGCAGCATTCATACTAACGAGCGTCCCTATGAGTGCGATGTGTGCCACAAGACATTTACCTACACGAACACACTAAAATTCCACAAGATGATACACACGGGCGAGAAGCCGCATGTGTAAGTAGCTTCTATGAAGCTCCTAGTTCATTGTTTTTATTAAATTTCCATTTCATTGACAGCTGCGAAATCTGTGGAAAGGGCTTTCCGCAAGCGTATAAGCTGCGCAATCATAGAATTACCCACGATCGTCGCAGCGGTGTTGTCAATTCCAATATGGAGGATCTGTATCCCATTTATACGGCGGCCAAGGCCGGCCTGGAGCTGTAAACACATTAAAACATTTAGACATATATACATATACATATTTACAACGTGTGGTTATGTATAGATATATAAATGCATATATAAATATATGAATTACAAATACGTAATTGATTATGAAACATTTAACTGTAACAAGTAAAATTGAAATAATTTACGAACGCAGCTCCATTGTGAAGTTTGCGTCTAGCCTAAGTTTTAGTCTAATTATGCGGAAATAAATTAAGTATTGCTGCACAGATGGTCTTGGCGTCGGTCTCTTCGGGATATAGTTGCAGCACCGCATGCACCTGATGCTGCGGAAACAGGCTGCCTAAATGGTAGCGCAACAGACGACGCTGTTCCTCGCGTGTTGTCTGCGACGTGTGTAGCTCCTCGTTGATACGCGAATCGGAGGCGGACAGATGGGCTAGATTATGTGCGGGCATTGACAGCGATGGCGACAACTTGGCGGCCTGATGTTGGTCCGTTAACGGTGCGGATGGTGTCCGCGTCAGATACTGATGTTGATAGTTGTTGTTGCCTAGCGCCGGCTGTTGTGGCGCGCTGTATGTGGGCACCAGCAGTCGATAGGTAGGCGGCGGCGCCTGCCGTTGCAGCTTTTTGTGGCGATTCAGCTGCTGTGCCGGCTCCACATCGCAATTATTGCTGCCCAGCTCCAGCTGGCTGGTGAAGGAATGACAGAGCTGTTGTTGCTGCTGCTGCTGCTGCTGCTGCTGTTGCGAGATTTTTTCTATTGTATTTGATTTGGTGCGTGCCAGCGCCGCCAGCTTGGCATTGTTGCTACTGTTGCTGTTAGCCAGCAATTGCTGCCCGCCGTTGCTGTGCAGTGGAGCACTGTGCGAGACCTGGAGCGGCAGACGCTGCAGCTGCAGCTGTGCCGTTTGATGTCGAAACTTGCACTTCTGACCGTAAGTGCATTTTTTGCCATATGGACACAATTGCTGCTGTGCATCCGTCATCTTCTGCTGGGTCTGTGTGCGCAAAAACATATCCAAGGTGGGGCCAGCGCGACCCAGCGGATCGTCGGGCGGCATAAATATGTCATCTACAAATGAGTACATTAGCAGGCGTTCCTGAACCACTTTGCGGAACTCGTTGCTCTCCAGCAGCAGATCGCGATAATTATCATTGGACACCACAATGCCATCCGTTTCCACCGCCAGTTTGAGTATGAAGCGATCATCGTAGCAGGAGACGCGCTTACCATCCAAATGCCGAGATGGTGTAAAGACCAGAACGCGCTCATGCTCCAGCTCATAGAGCAGCTCCTGTTCGGTTATATTGTTGTTCGCCAGCTCCTTGCGCCAGTTGGGCACAAATGCTGTTATGTGACTATGGCCGCGCTGCCGAAACCACTCAACACAAATGCGTATACCGCGACAGCTGAAGATGGTGTTGTTACCATGCGACAACGCCACATTGCTGCCATCAATGACGATGTGGCGCAGCGAACTGCTGCCGCTGCTGGCGGGTGGCACATGGTTGCTGTTGTTGTTGCTGCTGCTGTTGGATGGTGCTGGCCGTGGTGCATCTGCGGTCAGTTTGATCAGTTCCGCCAGCAGCTCATTTTGTTTAGCCTCTGAGCCGAGGCGTGTGAGCGCCGTGTGTATAGACTGTTCGCTGTAGCCCAATTTTTGTGCAAATTCCAGATTCTTGCGCTCGGCGCTGCTCAAATCATCATCGTCGCTGCTTTCTTGCTGCTGCTGGTGGTGCGACGTCTGTGGCTTTCTCGCATACAACTTGTTGGCGCTTTGTTGTTGTTTTTGCTGCTGCTGCTGTTTTTGCTGCTGTTGTTGTTGCTGTAGCTGTTGGTGTTGCTGCTGTTTTTGTTGCTCGGGCACTTCATAATCCATTTTAATGCGCATTTAGTTTTCTGAGCCTCTACTAACTACTGCAACACTTTATATTGCTTGTCCTTTGTGTGCCCTTTTTAGTTTTTTAAACAATTTAGGCGATTTTTGCAACAAGTTCCGTCTTTTTACATTTTGTTGTTGTTGCCAAACAGATATGTTGTTAACATAACGGCGCATAACGTTCAACTGTTAATAACAGCAAGCAATTATGAATACCAGCTACTATTTAACATTAGCCACTTTTAAAATAAACTTTAGGATTTCATAACAAAAATGTATTCGCAGGCGGTTTTTTAGCAGGTAAATTACGCGGAAGCTCATATTGAAATTTAACAGCAGCCAATTAACTTGCCAATCAGCTCTCTAGTCAAATCTCTGTTAGCTTATCGATATCAATCTGTTACTTAAGCGATAACTATCGTGGTCCGTTGGTCGTTGTTCAGCACAGCACCGATAACTAATTCACGCGCCAATTTCAATTTGAGCTCAACACTATAAGATAAGAAATCACATAAGCCATGCATAAATAGATTTTTATTGTGGTGTACAATATAATATCGCATATAATTTTTATTTTAACAAATTCGCTACAATCCATATAAGTATATAACATTTAAGAGTAGTCGTTGTTAACATTTATAGATCTCACTTTTTAAAATAAAGTACACATTGTTTATCTTTGTTTGTTGTATGGTTTGGTCCCTCTTTTCATGAAAAAAGAGTGCGCTGCATTCTAATTAAACTACTCGTACAATAAATATAATACTATTTATTAGTAGTGGTCACATCTATTCGGGTAAATATAGAGATTTTCAATAGATTAAATGCATAGAAAACACACGTATTTCAACGACAATAAAGTAATTCATTAATTTCGTTTCATTTTCGTGGCAATTACTGTGACAGCAGCACTAAAAAAAACTATAAAATTGGACGTAAAGTTTACTACTTGTGTCTAAAAATGGTTATAGAGCTGCTACTACTAATATATATGCACGTGTGTGTGTGTGTGTGTGTGAGTATATGGACTAGGTGCCTGTGTTTGTGCCTGGTCCATTTCAAATTCCACCAGTCATTCATTTTGCACGCAGCTTTACTTAAATTTCCTTCAGAAGAAAGTATTAAGGATGCATTCCCCCGACACGTCGTATCCTATAATTTCTGCTCTTGCGTGTTCAACCAATCTGGGTTTCTCTGTGCGCTGTGTGCTTCTTATGACTAACATAAAATTTATTGTTGTTTTTTATGTGTGTCTGTGTTTGTGGGTGTGTGCAAGTGCGTGTTCAGGGCTTTCAGTTGGATTTTCATCTTTAACGGGTAATTAGTGAAGTTTTTGCGTTGACTTTTATACAATATATCCACTGGGTGTCGCAATTTTTCTTACACTCTGCTTATTCGAGTTAAGTTTATGGTTTAAACTTACATTTGAAAGAAATTACAGTTTTGCTGCACACTTATTAATATTACAAAGATTTTTCTGCAGATAACATCCAGAATAAAGATATTTGCTTGGGGAAATCGAATTACGCAGATCTATGCAAGGTAAATCAATTATTAATCAATATTGCACACTTCTATGCAGGAGCTAAGTGATCACAATTCATAATTTGTAATGCATACTTTTGTGCTGTCTTAATATTCACAATAATAATTGTAATTGCTTAACCAAACATTGCATACTTTTGCGATGTAACAAGGATTCCAAACTCCTTATTTGTAATGCATACTGTTGGGCTGCACCTTAACTAAAAATAAATATTTTTCAGTGCATACTTTTACGCAGTGTGAAAGACTTGTATTTCATAAATTATACTGCATACTTTTGCGCTGCACACAAATTCATAATACACATTTTTTATTGTAAGCCAAATTATTGCATACTTTTGTGTGGTATATTTTTGGGCTAAACAGACACATTCACAATTAATACTTTTTAGGCTCGGAAAAGCCAACTATATCGATCTGGATTACAACATTACGAGGTCATTAAAGAATCTAACACTTGGAAAACACAAAATTCTTGAATACTTGGATCTTACGTCTAATTTTTTGTTTACAGAATTGTCTTTTATTTCCTGTTAAGTTCAATGCATGAACTTTCTCGAATCATTCGAAAGGACTCTCATATGCTCAATTGTCTAGCATATGTGCCGAGTTTGCTTATGCGCGGCCACAAAATTGATGAGCTCTCATCTAGCTGCAGCAATTTATTAGATACGATAATTTTTGGATGAACAAACTTTGTCATTAATCAGTTGTTTAATTTTAAAAAGCATGCGACAGGATAACACCCACAGCCTGATGCGTGTGCGAAAGCATTTGTGTTTTTCCTTTACGGCTTCTCCTCTTTTATTTCGTGCTTTTAGGCAAACAAAACCTGTTTATCGAGCCCAAAAATATAACCACATTGCATGCGAGCCTGCTAAGCTGATTAACATTTAGCCCTTGTTTAGATACCTGTGTGTGTGTGTGTGTGTGACTATGTGTGTGTGTGTGTGTATTTACATTGCCGTGCGAGCTGTTAAAGCTTACATATATATTTAATAGATTGTGCGCCCGGAATTCTAGTTCGTGTTTTGTGGTCAAAGAACAGACTTTAATGTGCACCATTTCCACTAATTTCATGTCAAATTGATTTGGCCATCGCAGCCTGCCCCTTATCTGAGTGCTTCCTGGCATCCTCCCGGCACCTCACGTTTTGTTTCCGACAATTGTTATGCGACACTTTTTTTTATTGTTTCCTCGCGCTTTGTTCGTGTGCATTGCAACCAGTTTCCGTTACTGTTTTTATTATTATAGCCTCAAGTCAGAGGAAAAAAAGAGATAGGAAGAGCGAGCAAATAAGAAAACTCACTTCACTCGGTTCGTTCGTTTTGGCTTTCCGTCTGTATGTCTGCATGTCGGTTTGTCTGCTTTCCTTTGGTGGTTAAATGCTCCCTCGCTGTCAATACTTGAAATTGGCATCTGCATCAGCAATATCGACAGCACAGAAAACGCGCAGCGTTCGCTTTTGCCTTGAAGGTCTATGAATGTTACCCATCGAAAAGTTCAAGAACTTAGCATTTTAAATTGTAATACTATGAACTTAAATTGAACCCAAATTGCAGTCAGTTTAATTAAAATCAAAAGCAGATAAGCTGCATTTGAGTCCATATCTATAGATACAATTTTGTGCAGCACAAATTGGTTGTGCAGCGTGGAGTAAACAATTTTAAATATTATTGCAAAGGTAATGTGCATTTTAAGAAAAGTTAACACATTTTTTTTTATTAAATAAAAGTAAGGAAATTTAATTAGAAATTAATATATTTAATATGTCTTAATTATTTTGCAAGAATACATATGAATAAAATAAGCATTAAAATTAAAATTTAAATAAGGTACAAGCATATTTGCTTTAATAAATAATACCACAAATAATTTAATTATAAATTAAATTTAATTTAATATATCAAATAATCCAGAAACTTTGCTAGCTCAACTCAATTGTAAGTCATTTTGCAACACTGTGCTTACTGCACACTAGAATAAGCTATATACCTATATATATATATATAAGTATATATATCTATATGTATATTTATGTCAATTTGGGAGCACGCCATTTTGCGCTGTCTCGGCCGCACTCGAAATCGAGGGAAATCCAATGAATACCAAAAAAAAAAAAAATGATACAAACAATGCACATGTAAGAAAATGGAAAAATGCTTTGCAAAATTTCAGTATTTTTTAGTGTACGTGTGAGTGTAAGCGGTATATGTGCGTGTGTAGTGTAAGCTGGGGCCAAACACGGTTGGCTTGAAAACAAGCGTTCGCGTTGGCCAACTTAATCGTCAACGTCAACATTGTTGCAGTTGCAGCAGCAGCAGCAGCAGCACAGTTGACATTTGACCTTGCCATTTTCCCGTTGAGTGTCGTTTTTTTTTAGTGTTCTTATTCTTTTAGTTCCGGCTGTTGTTGTTGTTGTGGCTGTGGCGGGCACCCGTTAGGCATTGATAAAATATTCACGCTTCTTGTGGCATTTCTCATACGCAATGTAGCACAGCGCAATGGTAATCAGCACCAGAATCGTAATGCCCATTATGATGCTGACCAGTATGATTTCGTCGTTGATGCTCTTGTAAGAGTGACCTGCAGAGAGACAAAAGGCGAAATAAGCAAAATGTAAAGAGATTAAGATTTCGTAATGGCTCTGACAAATTGGCCAACATTTGTCGGTTTGACTGCGTTGAGGTGTGGCTGGTGGACTAGTTACGGCTGCTGAAGGCGGCTCGTGTCAATAACGACAATTCGGTTTGCTGGGACTCATGCATATTCGGGGCACATAAACAGAAAATATATGTGCGCATATTCTGACAAATTGCATTGTTATAAAAATAAATAATAAACAAGCATAAATGTATACATGTTCTGGCATGCCATCTAAAATAAATAACATGCGCTCGCACACGCACACTCACATATAGAACAAAGGACATAAAAAATTAAATAAAATTTGGATTCGCAATACACTTTTATTGTAACAGATGTATCAAAGTTATACGATTCCTGCATGTGGATTATTAATGCCATTTTGAGCTTGCAGCGAAAAATAATGCCAAAAAAAGATACGCAAAGGCGTGTATAATATTATATTGTGCTCTTTAAAAGGTGGACAATATTTGACACTGTCTTGTTTTCTAGATTGTATTTTTATAACGTGAAATTAGTTATTATAATTTTAAGAGTTATCCGCGTTTTCTTTCTATGAAGTTAATATTTTCTTTTTAAGTGAATTGGGTCTTGGAGTTTATCTTACGAAGAAGAGCCAGATGTTCAATAAGCAAGTTTTGATGAAATTTCGCTTCACTTGCATTCAATTTGATTATCTTTATAAACGTAATACAATTGGAACATATGTGTGCAGATATTTTTTGGCTCCACCTTTTGACAAATGATGACCTTTTTTTTCCGTGCACCCCATTTAGCCAGATGCTTGCTCTCTGCGTAATTTAACACATAATCGATGAAGCATTCGCCCTTCTCCAGCAGAGTATCTTGCGAAAATTAAAATCGTTTATACAGCCAGCCAAAGTGTCGCCGGGCATTGGCCGGGGCCGGGCAGCCGTTGTATGGATCTGTTAATTAGATAGCTTAAATGACGTCGGTAAGTTGAACTCGAGTCGCCTTTTAAAGTTCTGATGACTATGTAGCCTAATAAATTGAAATCAAATGGCGTGGTTAATGTGCTTGTCTGCCGTCAAGTGTCCTTAAACCATGTGCTTGGATTTTTCTCGACCTGCCCCCAAATGTAGGCAACGTTTTTGCCTAAAAGCTGCTTCGAGTTATGTGCATTAATATTATATCTATGCATGTATGTATGTATGTGGCTTAAATAAATATCTTTAGAAATAAGACACGTCACCGAATCTTGGTAGATGCCAATTACGGCCCGCCAATGTGTGCGACATGAAATATTTTCAGTACAACGGGCACGTGTAAATAAAATCTGAAATTGTTACAAACAAATTTTAAAAATAGTCTACATTTTACAAATATATTTAAGAACTAATAAGGAATTATATTAAAAATACGAGCTTTAATTAAGATTAGATTAGATTAGATTAGAGTAGCTCTAAATAATAATTAAAGTTGAGGAACTGTAGCATCTGCTCTGCCCCCCAACTCGCTTGGTAAAAAATATAAAAATATTCATAAATTACAATTCAACAATGACGCGACGCCTCAAATAATATTTTGCCAACGTTTCAAGGCCAAGCCACTTAGAAAGATAATTAAAACAAATGCGAGTTTGAAATTAAAATGCACAGGCCTTAAGTACAGCCAAATCTGAGCTAGAACTTTAGCAGCAGAAAAAACAATAAAACAAAAGACTATCCTAGGCAGACCGAAGATTAAATACCGCGCATAACAAAAAAAGAAAAAACAGATTAAGATTGAAAGTTAAACTGTTTGTTTAAGATATCTCGAGAAACGGAAAGAATTTTATGGAAAACAGATTCTTTCTACTTATAAAGCACAGGTGGACAATGGGAGAAGGCCACAGCGACTCGGCTGTTGATAAAGATCGAGGATTTATAGGAAATGTCTGATCTGTATATACACATTGTGAGGACAGAAATGTCTCCTTGATGACAAAATTATAATACCCTATGCAAGGGCTTACGGAAATATTTATTGTGTTCTCTATTTCGGGCTCTGCTCGTTGTTTCATGGCTTTTCAGATCGTGTGAAAACATTTAAATAATTTTCTGCTGTTTTTTGCTGAAGACCCCAAAAAGTTTGTGAAACTATGAAAAACTGCACAAACGCCTCCCAGCAAAAACTGTGCATAGGATGTAAAATAATTTATGGGATGTCCAGCACAAAAAAAAAAAGAAAAGAAAATTGAGCTGTCAAAACGCAAATTGTGAAATAGAAAAAAAATAGATAGAAATATCAAATGCAGGGCTGCGTTATGCTACATGCAAGAAACATGCACAAGAAAAAATATTGAAATCTTAATGCGAATTGGCATACGAAACAAACAAACTGTGAATTATTGAGATTTACGGGGTTTGAGCAAATGGGGCAAATGGGCCGTGTGTCAACATTTTAGATATTCTATCCCCATGGAGGGGCACGTGGCATTTTTTTTTTTTTGTATTAAATTTCGTTTATTGTTTCTGCCTGTGGATACGGTCAATAAACCTATTTGTATTGTTATTATGGATGCGGCCGATATTTGTCCTAATAATAATTCCGTTTTTGGTGGTGTGTGCGACAAGGTCTTGAGGACCTTGAGGCCTGCATTTGAGAATTTCTGCTCAAACAGCTCAACGCGATTTATTCTGATTGAAGCTTTTTACAAACAAGCAAATATATATATAAAAATACATATATACACATCCTGTGCAGGGGGAGAGTCAACTTGGATTAGGTTGCGTAGCTTCTGCTTCTGTGTTCACGAACATTTTTCTGACTCCAGCCCCTCAGCTTCTTGGCATCCTCTGCTTGGCTAGGACATAAGCTTTAATTTCAATATACCTTACCAAGAGTTCCCTGTTGGGGTGGTAAGTGCAAAAAGGAAATTGTCAATTATATAACTTCAAAGCGTTGCCGGCTCCGGATTTAGCATCAAATATGCAACAGCCTGTGGGCATGGCCGGGCACAGTTATAGTTTTGCATGCCAAACAATAAACGCGAAAGCCATATTTGGGTCGGCAGAATGAGGACAAAACTTATTACAAAATCAAGTCCTTGGGCTATTTTCGGCAAATGAGCTGTCCAAATGAACTCGTGGTGCAGCGGCAAGGTTGCAGTTTTAAATCCTAGACTTGTCCTGGTCAAAGGCCAAAGTATAATTGTTAACTATATCCCATGCTAACAAGATTTCTAACTACAACATTTCTCGATCTCTCGTACGCTTTCAAATGAACTCCAAGTTGGCCTTGCCTGAATACTTGTTTTTCAAATTAGATCAAATTTATGATACAGCGTAGTAAAATCAGAGTATAGTTGTGTTGCTCGTTTATTTGTTTTATAAATTACAGTGCGTCAAAATTGAATATTTATAATTAAAAGGCAACTGAGCTACCAATGGCCGAGTGAGTATAGTATAGAGTGCAAATTAATATTCCTCAAATGTATTCCGCATTTTCCTGCACGCAGCGAGGAGAAAATCTCGACAGGGAAAAGCTTGAAGCAATGCTGCAAGCTTCATTGGAGGGGCAAGGGGACCATCATCATTCCGTTGGTTACCTTGCCCGTTCTGCTTTATGGCTTTAGCATACAGTCACCAGTAAGTTGGCGAACATGATTTGGCCCAGTTAGGTGCTATCTCCTTCTCTCTATTCATTAGGAGTTCAAGTGCATGTATCTGGTGCTGAACATGGCGCTCTTCTGGATAACAGAATGCATCCCACTCTATCTGACATCCATATTTCCGGTGGTCTTTCTGCCGTTGTTCAGCATAATGGTGGGTAGAGAACTGCATCAGATACGATCTGTGATTAATAAGTAACTACTTCATTTAGAGCTCCTTTGATGTATGCCAGCTGTTCTTTACGGATACCTTAGTTATGTTTTTGGGTGGTCTCATTGTTGCTCTGGCTGTGGAGTACAGCAATCTGCATCAGCGCATCGCGCTGGGAACAATTCTATTGGTTGGCTGCAGTCCCAGACGGTAAGGGTTCAGATGAATGATCGAGGTCTATCAAATGGAGCTGTATGATTGTCCCCCTTCTTCCAGCTTGCATTTAGGTCTCGTTGCGGTCACCTGCTTTATATCGCTTTGGATATCAAATTCGGCAGCTACTGCCATGATGTGCCCCATTGTTAAGGCTGTGCTCATGGAAATGGAAGCCGTAAGCGATATAAGTCTAATATTTAAACTTTTTCACAGATCAATCAAAATCTAATATTTTATATAGCAAAATATATTTCAAATCAGCATGACCCAAGAGGAGCAGCCCATGGAGGAGGGCGAGTGAGTACCACTAAACACTTTTTATATACTATTTATTTTAGACAAGAGTTTAATCTGATTCCGTTTTGGTCAGTCCACCGCATCCCTCTTTAATATCGATGGCATTCTATTTCGGCGTTGCCTATGCGGCCACAATTGGGGGCTGCGGCACGCTCATTGGCACGGGCACAAATCTCACCTTTAAAGGTCTATACGACACGTAAGCGACACAATTAATTTGGGGGAATAGTTGAGTAAATGTAGAGTTGTTTGCAGTCGCTTTCCCAACTCCCAGGAAAAGGTGGACTTTCCCAAGTTTATGATGTACTCGATTCCGCTGGTTGTGCTCGTCAATGTGGTTCTCCTGTACTTTTCGCTGCAAATAACGCACATGGGCCTGTGTCGACCGAACAGCAACATCGGCCAGCAGATAAAGCGCGGCTCCGAAAATAAGGATGTGGTAAAACAAGTGGTCGTCCAGCGTTTTAAGGAGCTGGGTCCCATGACATGCCATGAGATTCAGGTGGCCATACTATTTGTCTTCATGATACTTCTGCTCTTCTTCAAGAAGCCCGGATTCGTAACGGGCTGGGGTGTTTTTCTTAACGCCAAGTGAGTGCCATATTTAATTCTATATAAATTATTTATTCATTTAATACCCCGAATCCATTGAAAATCCATTTTAGAAAAGGTCACAAAGAATGCCGAGTCGTTCGGTCTGTGTATAATATATATTCTCGTATATCCTGCGTAGATCGAGTCTGTCATATTTTTAATTGATATCTGTTTCCATTTTCATTTTAATCGATAAATATCGATTTCGATATATTCTTCTTTCGGCATATCTCGAAAATTATTAGAGCTACGAACACCAGACTTTGTATACAGCTTCTTCGGCAGCTGGGCCCGGATTCGGGATATCTCCTAATCGGACACTACCGACTAGAGCACTCTAGTTTTGTCTATTGTTCCTCACTAACGGTCGACTGTTGCATCCACCCAGGGCCATAGGCAGCTCGGCGCCTGTCATGCTGTCGGTTGTCCTATTGTTTGCCCTGCCCACACAGTATACGTTCTTTAAGTACTGCTGCGGTAAAGGTATGTTGGCGAATCTTAGTTGTGAGCGTCTCGTCTAATATATCTACTCCCAACAGCACCCTTCACTGGCCGCACCATGGACGCATGCCTCTCCTGGGTGTACATACAAAAGCACACACCGTGGGGCCTGTGCTTTTTGCTCGGTAAGCTAAAGTACTAGACTGGCGTACATAGGAAATTACTACTGTACTACCCAGTATAGGTGGCGGCTTTGCTCTGGCCGAGGGCAGTAAACGTAGCGGCATGGCCAAGATGCTGGGCGACAAAATGTCATTCATTAAATCACTTCCAACCTTTGCCACAATTGGCGTCTGCATTCTGATAAGTCTTTTCTGCACTGCCTTCGCCTCCAACGTGGCCATTTGCAACATCCTCATACCCATATTCAGTGAGATGGTAATCCTAGCAAAATGTTTAAGACACTTTCGTGTGTTACCCTTACCCATGCTTTCCCTGCCCCACAGGCCATCAGTATTAAAACGCATCCATTGCTGCTGACCCTGCCCTCCTCCCTGGCCATTAGCACGGCCTACCATCTGCCGGTCAGCACTCCGCCTAATGCTATTATTTGTGGATATGCTTTCATCAAGACAAAGTATTTGGTGAGTACAAGTACAGGAACATTCGGTTTTTCAGGTCTACCACTAACTTCTGTCCGCTTCTTTAGGCTATCGCTGGAATATTGCCAACAATTTGGGCTTTCCTTTTGCTCTGGGTGAACGCGTTGACCTTGGGTTACGTTGTCTATCCCGGCACCAAAAAATTCCCAGATGATTTATAGAGTCGTTAAAACCCGGAAAACTAACAGAAGAGACAATTTAAGATTTCACTAGCTCTTCAACATGAAAAAAATGTAATTAATATTTTATTTTGTTTCTTTTCTCCTGTATATAAAAACGAAAAGAGTTTGGCAATGAATGTTAAGAAATGCAATACCAAATCCCTTATCTGTAAATAGCCTTGCAGATCACTCAAAACGTAACATTTGCCCAGTTGGTAGTGTCCGATTTGAGGACACCCAGAACCTTCTACCAACTTTTATTTAATGCTTAAAGGGATATATAAAATATATAAAGAATTTAATTAAAATTGTTTCGGCATTAAATATCGGTATTAAGTATCATTGGTGGGGCAATTTTGCCATCATCATACATCAAAAAAGTTTGCCCATTTTGGTTTTTGGCATTGGCGAAGCAGAAACAGATCAATTAAAAATAGCTGAGTCTAGTTGGTTCATATGATCTTCAATATTACATAGGTTCTACTGACATCGGTATCTCGCGTGATGAGGTTTAATCTATGATTAATTTATAACTATTCTATTATATCAAACACATACACTAGTCTAGGGTCTGAATCACCAGCAGCTTTCTTGCTCAGTTTGCTAAAGGAATTCTAATATAAATTGATTTTTTTTATTGAAATACTAGTTTCACAAGCAACCCACACTCTGTAAAACGGTTATCAAATGAGGCGTACTTTCTATTGGATTGTGCCCTTTGTATAACATATCTCTATACTTGCTGCAGCCGCTGGCATTTCAGCTACATATATTGCTGCTTACTCTGCCTTTTAGGCTTTCTATAAGCATGACCTATCGTCTGCAGATCAGCACGCCTCTAAAAGCGATTGTGGCCATGTTGGCAGCAAGGCAATGTATTTGACAAGCATTTCAAAGTGTTTGTGTTTGGGTGTGCGTGTGCGTGTGTGTTAATAACTTGGTTAACTCTTTAGGCCATGGCTGGAATATTGCCAACCATATGGACACTTAGCTTTACTCTGACTTAACGCCAAGGCCTGGGGCTTGATTGTATATCATACATGCGCAGTTTTCCTCGACGGAGCTAAGGAGGAAATAGAAATGCTTATATAGGAGACTATATACTCAACCAAAAATAATTTTTCTCGAAATTCTTGGTCAGCGAAAGTTTTGGAAATGTTTTCACAATAGGTATTCACTTAGCCAGAGCAACCAAAATCGAAGTCAAATTATATTTGTAAGCATTGAATAAATATCAAGGGAAATTGTTGGGTAAATATAATAACAACAATATACATTTGGCAGCCCATTACCACGACGAGCTAAATAAAATTGTTATTTATTTTCAATTATATTGACAAATCCAAAGGGAGTCACCGCAGTCAAGCTTGCCAACTTGTTTTATGAGCATTTCATGCTGTTTACCAATACTGCTGGCGGGAAGTTTACTTTAATAAGGTCGTTGTTGCCCTTCACAGCATTCGCCCTGCCTGACAGGTGGTCTTTGTGTTGTGGATTTTCGGCGCACATTTGACATTGTAATGCATACATATATATTTATTGCATATAAATGTATATCATGGGCAGATCACAATACATAATTTACGCACAATTTGTGGCAATCAGAAACTATGATAAAGTTATACAAGAGCACAAAGCTCTGAGCTCAGGCAACACTACAACAAAAGTGCTCACGTACACACAAGTGGGGCCAGCGGGTGGCCCGAGGGCGTTCATAAGGACAGCAAATAACTTAAGAGGGGGCCTTTTGAGGCAACAGGAAAACAAAACCTTATGCAAACACAGCAAAAAGTCCCATGCCAGCAGCTTGTTGTCGCTCTTTCATAGATATTACCTACGTTATATCGTCTTTTAGCTAAAGTCCTGGTCTGCATTTGAAATTCCATTTCTGCCCACTGGTGAATGATATCAAGTGCACAAAGGCGCACAAACAGACTCCTTGTAGTACATGTACACATATCTATATATATACTCCCCAACGCAACATTTACAAACATGAATGCGAAACGCAACGAAACAGAAATGTAATAAAAACACGTCTGAGGAAGTGGCCAAAAATAAGAATATAAAGGAAAGCAAAAGAAATACATATAAACACGCTTTTCCACACTGATTACTGTGGGGCATGCCACGCGGTGGCAGTTCATCAACAACAACAACAACAACAACGGGGAGGCAGACGTCAAGACGTCACCGCTGGCTGGCGGATCCACTAAAGCCGCCAAATGTTGTTGTTGATGCTTTCAATGATGAGGACAATAGCCAAAAGCGTAAGCCTCTATTCATGTGCGTGGGTATGATGTGAACATGGAGGACAATACAGCATACACGCAGACGATGGCAAATAACATAAAAAATCAAAGAAACAATGTAGGAATGGTGGGTTGTCCGATTATTGTGGATGATAAGGTCTTAAAGTCTAGAGTAAAAAAAGTAGTTTAAGTACCAAAAAGAAATAAAAGAAAACAGCAAAGAACATTCATTACTCTGAATAAAAATAAAATAAATGATAATAATAAAATGAAAATCGAATGAAATTCGAACTATCTGATATGTACAATGCGTTTCATATTGATAGTGCATTTAAAGCTCAGATAATTGATAGTTATTATCATTTGAAATATATATATAAAATAACACACAGAAAACTGGCTTCACTATCATACTAAAAACATTTCCATAAATGGCAATAAAATTGTTCAAATATTTGTAAAATTGAAATAATTTGATTTCCAATCTTGTTATTTTTTTTCAATTTTATCAATATTTAAATTTTGACTTTTTTATGACAATTCAATATCGGGCATTATTCACTGTAAATATTTCTAAATATTAAATAGAAAATATTTCCAAAAATAAAATACAATAAATAATATACATATTTCCAAGTGACCAACTGTTATTTATTTTTAAATTATATAAATTTTTCGGAATTCATTTAAAATAGTTATCAAATTATTTGAAAAATTTGTCAATTCGATTTCAATTTGCTTTCAAAACTGACTATTTTTTATCCAATATCGGGCATTATTGACTCAAGATGTTTCCAATTGTTATCAAGAAGAAAGTATTTCAAAAAATAAAATAAAATAAAATAAAAATAGTACATATTGCCATGCAGCTTGTACCACTGTGCCATATGGACAGAGCCAAACTAATGAAGTTGCCAAAGATTTTGTCCGCTCTCCTGTAACTGTTCATGACTTGTTGTGCATGCGTGTGTGTGTGTGTGTGTGTGTGTGTGTGCACTCGTGTAAGCTACTTACTGCTGTAATAATTGTTGTCTGAGTAACCGTATTTGCCGGCTGTCCTACCGCCGCCTGCCATCTTGTTGTATTTGCCTTGTTTCCGTTTGGTTCAACTTCCGGCAAATCTAGTTGTACTCCCAGCAGAAAACTTCAAAAATTCGAATTGCCTGCTGTTTGTGATCCGCTTAGGTTTATGCTTATGCGCTGTGAAGAAGAAAAGCAAGTCGTGCTGCAATTAAAATGCGGTTACAAGCACATATAAAGCAACTACTCAAGTGTGTGCAAATGGTTGTGTGTGTGTGTGTGTGTGTGTGTGTGTGAGTCGGCGTATCTGTGTATGTGTGAGCTCAATTACAACAGAAAAAAATCACAGCCCACAACACAAAACGCCAGGCAAAGCGGGCACAGGCAAAACTGCCAAAAAAAAACGTTGCGTATACGCTGCGTCAGCCACGTTCTAATTATGACACACACAGGCACACAGCTGCCGACCTTGTTGTGTAATTATGCATATAATTAATATGCATGTAGATATTTAATATTAACAAAATTGTCGGCACTTTGAGCGTGCTGCAGCAGGTAGAACGAAGACGCCCCGCGAGGCGTGGAGTAACAAATAAATTGCGTTCAATTCGTGTAATTAGTCTAAGTAGCTTCCCACTCGTGTGGGTCTCCATGTGTGCGAGCGTGTGTACAAAGCCTTCACCTCAAGTTCTTGTGGCACTTCTGGGCCCAACGTGCGAGCTTGTGTGCAGCAATTCAAGAATTGCATTTGCGCCAAGTTCTGTGAACTGCATGTGGAATGCTTGCTGCGCTCCATTTAAGCCCAGCATTGTTTGTCCGCCTCGAGGCCATGCAAGTTTAATGAGTCTCAGCCCAGCATGTGCAACATATATCCCAATATCCCAATTGCATGCTACCTACGTGGCAGGCATACGTGCCTGTCCAACTTGTGCCGGGGCTTCAATTTTGCTAACCAAAAATTCGCAATGCCTAAAATTGCCTGTAAAGGTTCCCTTTGACTTTAGCGCATGAGCAATAATTGAATTGTAGCATATCTCTTCTTTTTATACCCTGAACCCATTAAAAATGGGTATATTGTATTTGTGCAAAATCCAAATGTATGTAACAAGCCGAAGGAAGCTTCTCCGACCCCATAAAGTATATATATTCTTGATCAGCATCAATAGCTGAGTCGATCTAGCCATGTCCGTCCGTCCGTCCGTCCGTCCGTCCGTCCGTCCGTCCGTCCGTATGTATGAATGCAAGGATCTCAGTTTGTTTCCGATAATCGATAAATTACTCCGTTTCCAAGCAATTATAATTATAAAAACCGATATCGATATCCTGTTTTTTGGGCAATTTCGGTAAACAATAAGAGCTAGAGTCGCCAATCTTGACATATAGCTTCTAAAATAGCATATATATGTGCATTTGTTGGAAGAAGAGGGTTCAGGGTATCCTCTAGTCGGGAGCTCCCGACTAGAACCTCTTGTTTTTTTTTTGGTTAAGTCAATTTTTCATATTTTTGATACCCAGCAACCATTTAAGAATTGAAAAAAGTAATTTTTCATAGTGAGGGACTCAGAGCATGTACCTCAAGTTAACTGGTCACAGGGTATCAACTAGTCGTAACCTCTCGTCAAAAGCACTTTTACTAGTTTCAATTTCCACTTAAAGCTAGCTATGAATTGTGGTTTTATTATTCAACTATTGTACAAATGAAGCATCCGCACAGTTATATATTTTCACATATATGTATAAATTTTCAGAATTGTGCATCATTTAACTTTATTTTACGGTCAACTCTGGCTTCTTTTCCACAACACAGACAGAAATTCAGCAGAATATTTTTTCAAATGCGAATGCTAGGAACTCATTAATTGTTTACCATGCAACAAGCCTCAATTAGCTTAAGCAGCTTTTGATTTATAATGGTTAGTTGTAGTCAATGTAATCCTCTTATTTGTTTCAAAGTTTCGGTACTTTTGCTGTAAATCATCAGGTAAAGTTTTGCCATTGGCCTTAATTGCCGCATCTCAAAGCGATTTATTATTGCGCCCAGCGACGCCCACCGAGCAATTTCTCAGATTTTGCTTTAAATAAAATGAAAAAGCTAACTAAGCACTTTCTAAGGAAACGCAATTTGATTACAGTTCAGATTTATAAATTTACAAAATTTGCACGTATCGCAAACAAAGTCAATTACAGGCACAAAAGGGCAAATCTCACAGTTGCCCTTTGATCTATTGACATATATGTGTATGTATATACGAGAATTTCTAATAAAAGTTTATCCTTTTGAAGACAGACGACAGGCTGCTTGACATTTTTCAAATACCAATAAAAGTGAAAGCAATAAAAGATTCTTGGGGAGTGTAAAATATTTGATATGCATTTTTTGTGACTAAAACAAAAATTGGATTAAAACATTTATGAAAGTTGCTTAAGAAAAAGTTTTGAGGCTTAAGAAGATTTAAGGATTTAATAATAAATAATAAAAAAGTATATTTTAGTGATTAATAATGCATTAGCTTAGGCTTAAACCAAAACGTTGGGTACTTTAAACAAGATTAAATAACATTAAAAGATGAAAAGATAAGTTTTGAGAAATATTTATGAGAAAGATTAAGAGACTACACAACAGAAAAAGCCATTTACAAGAAATATATGTATGTGGGTAATTTGTTTATAAGAAAAATTAAGAAACTTAATAAATACCATATATAAAGAAAAAATTTTAATAGTTGCCTTAGATATATTTATCTGATAAAATAGAAATAGAAATAAAACTTGACATGCACCGATCTTTACTGACAACTGATAAATTTCTCCTCAGGATATCTTGATAACCAAATAAATTTGTATAAAAGAATTTAATTATAAACCGATTGTTCCTATGTCAGCTATATGATAAAGTGCTTCGATATGGTGGGATCTAACAGAAAGAAAAATTTATAATACTCTCTACAAGGGTATATTAGAAGGGGTATGAGAGAAAGGAAAAAAATGAAATAAAATATAAAATTGAATTGCATGAGAACCGAAAGGCTTAAGTTCAACACAAACGCAAATCCGGACCCGAAACTTTTGGGGCTGAAACAAAAAGGAGTTTAAAACTCGTATAGAATATTGAAAAAATGATTGGGAAAGTTGGTGCAGATTGAAGTTAAGCTGAATAAATTGATCTGGTTAATGGATAGCCCAAAGATTTGCGAGTCATAATAAACTAATAGTAAACCGCATTTAAATGATGTACAGGGCGAAAAGTCGAAGCACAATGCGCACATATGCGAGCCCCAACTCCACAATTGCCCCAACAACATTAGGAAAACTTTTTAGTATGCGGCGAATGGGAATACAGGCAGCTGAGCTTTGGCCAGAGCAAAGGCTGGAGTCCCAGCTGCCGCGCTTGCGGCTGTGCGCCCAATGAAAGCGATACTCATCAGTGCGTTCAATCTGCTCCACTTATTGCTGGCATGCTGACGAGTCCTTGAGGCCAGTTAAACGGACAGAAGTGCGAGCTGACTCGACCCTAACACATGTTTGCTGGACTCAACCTGGATGCGGTTGAGGTGTGCGTGCTTGAAGCCAGGTGCGAACATGTGTTAAACAGCTGAAAAGCACTCAAACGAACACGAGGACACGCAGTTTATGAGTGTGGCCACAAGATAGAGAGATCCCATCATTGTCCAATGCTCGCTCTTCCACTTAGCCACACCCATATAACGCCCAAATGATGTACCGAAAAAACAAAAAACAAAATAGCACTAAAATTGTCGCCTCTATTTCCGCTTGGATTGGTCATCAAGTGTGCGTGAGTGTGTGAGTGTGTGGATGTGTGTGTGTGTGTGAATGTGTGTATGTGTATCCGTGTCGCATACACAGCAAGAACATGCTCTTTCGCATTCGCAACCATTTTGCTTGGGCATGGCATTCGCGCACGAGTGGCCCATTGTCTAAATGATTTCTATGGTGCAAAGTTTTCCATTTGCCGTTGAATTTGCGTGCTTGGCCCGGATGGAGCCTGGCACCCGGTTACGGTAACGGCATTTCCATCGTAATTCTAAAAAAACAACAACTACAAAAAAGCAAACAATGCATCAATTTGAAGACGCACGTTTTCCCCCATGTTTCGTCATCTGCAGTGATTCCTTGTGATTGCCCCTAATTGTAAGTCAAGTCAGTCGCGCATTCGCTAACAGCAAAACACATAGACACACACGCACTCACACACACTCGTACATACATATACACAAATATACTATATAGCAGGTAGCATGTAATACAAAACGAGTTTTTAATGGTCGCTATGCTTATAAATGGATTTCATTATATTTAACAGACAATTTTAAAAGATAATGGAAATATTTTAGAAAGCTTGTTTATAATTTTGATCTAAGATATAGGATCGCAATGCTTTCAAAATATAATGAAAAGCTTTAAATTTATAATTATAATAATTATAATAAATCATAGTGAAAATAATAATATATAGTCCATTGTTAATACTATTTTGCTCTTAAGTAAGGAGCCTAGTTATTTGCCAGTGTTGGTTAATATAAAACAAGAAAATCATGTTTTTCCCAAAAACTAGCTATATGTATATAGAAGTTCGATAAAGTTGGAGACAACAGAAAGTAGTTGGCAAGAAAGCTATAAGATATGCAAGTATATATGTATATAGCTTTATCAGATCGAAATCGCCTTCTTCAAAGCTGTGCAAGTTTTATAGAGTAAATAAAGACCAATTCTTATCCAGTATAAACATATATTTTTGAAAACACCCAGACTATATATGAATATTTATTAAAGGTTTGTCGTCAGCATGTTTCAAATATTCCATAACCATTTATCATTGAAACATATATGTGAGATGAGCATAATAAATCTTCCAGCTGTCAAGCTAAATATTCAAACATAATTAATGTGAGCTGGCAGAATGCCCAAAATGGCGCACCTTCAACCTGGATCCTGAACGTAAATCCAATTGGGCTGGTCAAAGGAGCTGTGATAAACCCTTTAAACACTTGCCTGCGTCTATTTAATCGACATATTTCAATGGCTGCTAATCTGCAGTATACACTAGGGATTTGCCGGCTTTGCAGGCTGCCAGTTAGGATTAGTGTCAGCTTCTCGGGCAGGAATATATATTAATTGGCCATGTGTGAAACAGCTGTGAGTCGAAGTGAGCTCTTTAAAGCCCTTACAGATATTTATGCTAATACATTAAGCCACTAAAATAACTATCAGCTGTAAAACTATAGACGCACTAACTTTTCGCTGGCGCATAAAGCTGAGAGTCGTGTCTGGAAATTTTATGCATGAAGTGCTGCGAATATTTTAAGCAAATATGCATACAAGAATGCAAAGAACTATATGGAATATATAATAAAATTTAAACGGCTCACAAGGAGGTAAAGTTAACCAGCAAAATTTTGCCGATGTTGTACTAAATACTATTCAACATTCAACCCAAGACCTTACAACTTTATTTGCTTGAATAACCCAACCAACTGAAGTCCATCTCAATTAAGTATAAGCCACAACAATATAACTAACCTATGATAATATTTCTGAATCAAGCGCCAAACATTTTGGGACTTCCCCCATTTTTATGGCAAATCATAAAAACCAGAGAAAGATTTTATTGAAACATAATGTCTTTTTCATAATATGCAAATGCGTCCGTAATAAAAATAATGCTCAATGCTTTAAACTTTCCCCAAGTTTGGCGTTGATCGAAATATGTTGAATTCTTTGGGAAATATTTGATGTGGCAAATGTGTTAAAAGGCGAATAAGGGATTTTGACTTAAAAAACGGAAACAGCTTTATTTAGTTTCGTTAAACTCAAACCTAAAACTGAACTGAAAGGCATGAAGTGTATTTGGATAGAGATTGATGTGGCTCTAATGAACACGCAAAAATGCATTGGAACAGAATATTCGTTTACGAAATGCACTGTGACCAAAGACTAATATGTTTTATATATTTATTAAAGTCCCTCTGGTTTCTTATAAAACGTTGTTTATAATTATACATTTTTTACGTGCCCCAAATATCATAACTTTAGCTTTAGCTAAGAGGTTTTCATTAGGATAGGGAAGATTATTAGCTGTACTTTATTATTAACAACATTTATATTATTCTTAAATTTACTTCAATGCTAAACATATTTATTAAGTAAACTTTAAAGAATATTTCTTCTCATATGGAACTATAAGATCCCTTTCTATATGCTTTATTGAGTTGTTGGACTACTCCAGACCAGAGTCGAAATGGGATAGGTTCTTATTGAATCTGCATTATACATACTATTCAAATTCCTTGTCTACAGGATAGATTGTAATTATATTTTGCTCAGTCTGTGGCTCCAATTAGAACGCATTCCATTTTGATGGGTTGGTACTGGACCTATTTAAACATTATAATGAAATTCCACTTTCCAACAACTAGTTGCAAGGCAATACCCTTTTCAACCATTCGTGTGGCTTTGGCATACAATGAACGCACCTTTTATAAAATAAAAGATACAAAAAAAAAATAAAAAAAAAATAAAATAAATAAACGGCACTTTGACGCTGTGGTGCACACAGGTTTAAGTGCGTTTAGCCTGAGCGCCCATCTATCCGGGCTGCCAGTTGGCAGCTGGCAGGCTTTGGGCGACTCCATAATTGATTTATGCGGCCATATGGAGGTGGTAGCTGATCCAGGACTAACACTAACACTAACACTAATACTAACACTTACTCCGTGCCGTTCTCTGGTTTAAATCGTGATGAGCTTTTGTTGTCTGTTAGCCATAAAATGCCTAATTAAAGCTGTAATTGAATTTAATTGCCAACAGTTGATCAATATGCCCGCAAATAGCACGCAGCTGAAATCCTGGATGGCCACGGGGCGTCCTTTTTCCCGCTGCCGCACAGCTGCCTTTGTTCGAGCCGGGGCTAAGGCAGTGGCCAAGATGAACAGTAAAAACAGGCGACACAAAAGCGCGCGAAATCACACAATCAAATACACGCGCATACACGCACACGCACACGCACACTAATAGAGCAATATACACGGACACACACAGTGACGACCCGGCCTTAGCACTTTAATGTGGCGCCAAATGATGCGGCTTCCACGTCCACGTCGTCTGGCTTGTTGCTAGAATCTGTTCGATGCGCGACCGTTGCAGCTCCGTCTGTGCCATCTAACGGTATTTGTTGTACTGATTGCCCAGCACTGGCAGCCAGATGAATGAACCAAAAAATTGCCAAACAACTTCGCATTGTCGGTGTAAGATGTGAAAAGTTTGCGCGCGCCCCATGGACCACAGCAGCACACATGCACACCCATACACGCTCACACACACACACACACAAGCAAACGCGTACACAGCGCGCGAAGCTTTTACTACGCAACGAGCTTTTGGGGATGTTATATTGACCCAACCCTAGACTGAGCTTTGCTCTTGGGTGCTGTTTGCAAAGTCAAAGTGCTGTATAAGTTGGTAATTGTTTCTAATTCAAGACAGTTTTTAAATATTTTTATAGATATTAACAGAATAAGATTGTAAGTTGTTATAAATATTATTATGTACAATTTTATTAGTGGATTAATTAATATTATTATTATTATTATTATTATTATTATTATTATTATTATTATTATTATTATTATTATTATTATTATTATTATTATTATTATTATTAATATTAATATTATTATTATTATTATTAATATTATTATTATTATTATTAATATTATTATTATTATTATTATTATTATTATTATTATTATTATTATTATTATTATTATTATTTTTATTATTATAATTAATAATTCTAATTTTTGTACTTGTATTTTTATACCCTGAATCCATTAAAAATGGGTATGAGGGTATGTTGTATTTGTGCAAAATCCAAATGTTTTTAACAGGCAAAAGGAAGCATCTCCGACCCCATAAAGTATATATATTCTTGATCAGCATCAATAGCCGAGTCGATCTTGCCATGTCCGTCTGTCTGTCCGTCCGTCCGTCCGTCCGTCCGTATGTATGAACGCAAGGATCTCAGAACCTATAAGAGCTAGAAAATGAAATTTTCGATGTAGATGCTCGTAGTTCCCGCGCAGATCGAGTTTGTTTCCGATAATCGATAACTTACTCCGTTTCCAAGAAATCGATAAAAATCGATATCGATATCCTGTTTTTTGCTCAATTTTGGTAAATGATAAGAGCTAGAGTTACCAAAGTTGACATACAGCTTCTAAAATAGAATATATAAATGCATTTGATGTTGGAAGAAGAGGGTTCAGGGTATCCCCTAGTCGGGAGCTCCCGACTAGAACCTCTTGTTCATTTTATTGTACGTGTTAAAATTCTTACAAATCTATTTTACCATGTCCTTCAGCTAACACATTGCAATGCAAATACTTCAGACTGAGACTTGTGCCGGCATCCTTCCATGCTCACTTGCCAGAGTAGCTAATTTACTTAGAGGAAATTGCATTTACCAAGAATATCAGCTAATATAAATATATTTGTATTGCTTGTACGTATAAAAATATATTAAGTTACTAAGAAAAATCTCCAAGAGCTATCTGTATGTCTTGAAAGGACTTGTAAAATTACCAACAATTACATTCTGAGTATAAACATATTATTTTTGAATGAATATTAACTTTTTTCTTTAAATTGTAGAAATATTTTTCTCTTGATGACGTTTAATCAATTCTATTTTCTAGTAAATATTTTCGTCAATCGAAAGATTTCCTATATTTTTTTTGCGTACTTAAAGCTTACACGAGACTACGAAATCTTCTTGTTGCTAATCGTCTACTTAGCGATAGTATATTATATTATTATGACTGCCTAGAGATTTTTATTGCTACATATAAGTGATATGGTCTTAAGGCAAGGGATTTAAGTATTTGGAAATAAAGCCTGCTCTCTTGCTGTTGAACTAGAAATTATTAATGTGCCTTAGGCAGCGAAATAATCAAGAGTTTTAATCGATAAGAAATATATGATATTTATCTTTCCAGCTTTTAAAAATAACTTAATTTTTACAAATATTACTTAATTTCCAAAGGCACCTTAGCAACTTGGTTAGAGATCTAAAATTTCTATTAATTGATTTGGCTAGCTGATTGAGTTATAATAAGTGCTAACAGGGCGAAAAATTCGCTTATTTGTTGCGACTTTGGAGTCCAATGGAAAACTCTGACGTCGAATCCATTCAGTTTTGTTCAACACGTGATGCGTAGCAACAGACTCTGTGTGTGCGTGTGTGTGTGTGTATGTTGATGGGGATTATCAGTAAATGATTTGCTAAACAAGGCAGATGATTTAATTGAATTTTCAGTGCTAGAGTTCAAATCAGTTGGCACTGAGCTGCACAGAGATTAGAATAAAAGCTTGAATCGTTGGGGTAAAAAGAAATGAAGTCATCATTTATAATAGCTCATCCACGTTGTAAGCGAATCCTCCCCTACTACCAATACACATACATTTATATACCATATATATATATATATATATATATATAAATATTTATATATGTATATTCCGAGTTGTATAGATTATATTGTGTTTACTGTATGTATATTACTTTATTAAATATTTTAAAATTAATAATTACAAAATATATTATCATTATGTATTACATATTTGTGACGGCTGGTGGAGGGGGCGGAGGGGTGTAGGGTGTGGGGCTGTAATTGGGAAGGTTCGGGGTTTTTTTTTTATTCTGCTGCAGCACAACTTAAAAATATCACACACAAATACCACGCAAGAAAAGAAGCCAAACAACTTAAGCGGCAACTGGGCCCAAAAACCGTCTTCTGTTTTTTTAAGTTGAAGTTTTTTCATCTTTCTAAATCTCTGCGCACTGTCAAAACTAGAGTTGGATCTAGCATCTATGGACACTCCTTGTCGCTGATCTTTTGAAAGTCTAAACAATGAATAAATATATGCATATTTAAGATACGAATTGGTGTGTGATTCGTTCTATACTCACTCGCATTCTGTAGGCAATTCTCCGTTTTCATAATGCAAACATTGCGATATGTTTTGGTGGTGCCTTTGTCATCCGCCGCGCATATATATTTACTCTCCTGCGTGTCACACTCCATGGCACACTTCACATTGGGATCGGGCAGGCTGAGGCACTGCACCAGCGTCAGCGCATAGAGCGTCACTATAAAATGCACAAAAAAAAAATATAAAAAAAATGCACAATAGTTAGTCTTTAAGCGGGAAGTGTGCAAAAAAAGAATAGAAAGCTAAACAACATGCCCTGCATAATAATCCGCCCAATGTGATATCACCAATAGCTACCACAACTGAACCTCAGCAAGCCATCGTTCGATCGATCGTACGCCCATCGTTTCTAGACGCCAGAACGTCTGGCATGTCATTGGCCGGCCGGACAGTGCGACCATAATACTGACTATTACCTGGCACAGCCGGGTCTGGACTGCTACGAGTGGCAATACTCATAAGGCATGAACATCTCCCAATTAACACCCAATAGCCAAATGAGCAATCACTTTCGTGCAGTTAAATTAAATTAAGCAAATAGGAAAACAATTTTCCGCAACTCGCAATGTTAAATAAATGACAAAAAAATAAAAATTGTGTGAAATGGATGATTATACTTTTATAAATTAACAACATTTGTTATATAATAAATGTTTATATATCATTAGATAAATAATAGTTATTAAGCAAATATAATGTGAGTTGATTTGATTAAGTATATATGCCAGTTTTTATAAATGTTAACATTTTAATAATTAAATAAAAGCAACATATTCAATTAGTTCACATTTACATGATTAATGCAAAACACTTAAATAAAATTTATGGAAATCAAAATATATTTTGATTTTGAGCCAACATTATTTTGAATTTTATTGAATAAAGTCAAGCTTGTGTAAATTGTAACCAAAAGAAATATACACTGCACAGTTAAAATATAATCACATTTCGTAAGGTAAACAAAAAAATGTTTACAACTTTTCTACTATCACATTCGATTATACTTAAAATATTCTTTCTTTGATTTAAAACAACCTTTTGGAATATTTATGAAATTTATATACTACTGCGAATATTTCAGTATCAATGCGTAAATAGGTCAGTTCTGTTGTTTGTTGATTTGGAAATTTTAAGCTCATTTACATATTTATTGATTGCAAAAAAAATTGTTATTGTTAATAAATATGTGAATCATAACACCAAGCAACAACAATTGTGAAACCGAAAAGAAATAAATATTTCCTATTATACCAAAAATATTAGTTTAATTATTTAAGAGCTCTTCTTGCCTCGTCTTAACTTGTTCCCTGCGTGGACGCTAGAACTTTTCATTCAGGGTATTTGCTGTTGTACTCGTTTGCTAGAAGGATATATTCCGGAAATGTTATGCACTAATGCGAGACATAATCGGGAAGGAATTTTCTGTTCTACTCTCCGTTTGGGAGGAACTATTGCAAAAATGGGAAATTTTTAATAAATAGGAATCTAAGTGCATTTCTGTTTTATATTTCCAGTAGGATTACATGTGTATTTTGAAATTATTTTATGGCAATGTTTGATTAACCGGAAACACGCCTTTCAAGAATTTTCAGAGAAAAAGTACTTGGCAAAGGAAACGTTTAATAAGTAGGAAAGCTTTACAAAACCTAAATGTATATGGTTTCCTGTTGCGCAGTGTAAGCCGCGGACTAATTTATGCACATTTGCAGGTTAAACCGAAACTTTAATTGCGAGTTCTGGGAAATTTTTTAATGAAATTTTTTGCTGAAACAATTAGTATGCGATAAATTTGTGACAATATACCAGGCAATTTGTAAAGAATAAGTATTTCCGCTTAAGTTTTGAATAAGCTAACAAATAAAATAAGTAATTTATATGCAACTACTTACAAGCCAAGAATACTGCAAACAGCTTCATTTTGTTGTAATATATATGTATATATATATATATATATAAATATATATATATATATATATATATATATATATATATATATATTAATTTATTGGGAGGAACTATTGCAAAAATGGGAAATTTTTAATAAATAGGAATCTAAGTGCATTTCTGTTTTATATTTCCAGTAGGATTACATGTGTATTTTGAAATTATTTTATGGCAATGTTTGATTAACCGGAAACACGCCTTTCAAGAATTTTCAGAGAAAAAGTACTTGGCAAAGGAAACGTTTAATAAGTAGGAAAGCTTTACAAAACCTAAATGTATATGGTTTCCTGTTGCGCAGTGTAAGCCGCGGACTAATTTATGCACATTTGCAGGTTAAACCGAAACTTTAATTGCGAGTTCTGGGAAATTTTTTAATGAAATTTTTTGCTGAAACAATTAGTATGCGATAAATTTGTGACAATATACCAGGCAATTTGTAAAGAATAAGTATTTCCGCTTAAGTTTTGAATAAGCTAACAAATAAAATAAGTAATTTATATGCAACTACTTACAAGCCAAGAATACTGCAAACAGCTTCATTTTGTTGTAATATATATGTATATATATATATATATATAAATATATATATATATATATATATATATATATATATATATATTAATTTATTGTATATATGATTTTTGCGTTGTGTCTATAAAGATGGGTTCGCTGTGATCTGACACATCAACTAAAAACTCGGTCGCACAATAATTTATTTATATTTATTGAACTTTACGGGTCAAAATCGTATGTGGTATATAGAAGCAGTAATTAGGCGGCGCTTGATTTTTGTTGATCCAATTTTTACACACGAGTATATTTGTATATTTGTGTATATATGCCGTATACTTTATAAGTATTTATGCTGCGATATATACTCTTGGGATTGTCACTGAACTGCAGACACGTGTATAGCTATATATATGTATATAAAAATATATTTATATATATGTTGATTTTTTGTTGTTGAATACGCGACACAGTCGTTGCTATAAGTATGCGCGCACTGATTCCGTTAACACTGTCGGCGAGGCCGCAACAGCACGCGTCCGAATGCGAACTGAAACTGAACCAAGCGCAAAGATATCCTCCAGCCGGCGGGTGCGAGAGAGTGAGCTCTGACACTGACTCTGACTCTGACTGTTGGAATGACGGCTGAGACTGAAGCTGTATGCTGGATGCGGTGCGGCTGCTGCTCTGCTGCCGCGACTGCTGCTGCGACTGCTGCTAAAGTCTGCCGGCCGCTGTTAGATACAGATAGAGATAAGTATGTGTGTACACACACACACAGTCACACTTGCGCTCACACACACAGACACACACACACGCACACAACAAGGCACGTTCGAATTTTTAGTTTCGAGTTTGGGGTTCAATAATCAATCAAAATCAGTGGACTGCCCAACTGACTGATTGGTTGACTGACTGACTAACTGACTGACTGACTGGCTGACTGACTAACTGTTTGACTGGCTATCTTGGCTTTGGCTTTGGCTTTGGGCTGGCTCGTCGTAGCGCACACGAATGATGTGCGACCACACAGTGTCTGTTAGTTTTATAGAATTTTTTCCATGCTAAAATTGATTTACGCTCGTGTCGTCGTCTTCAGTTTTCTTTTCGTTTGCTTTGTACATTTTGCCTTTATTTTATTTTATTTATTTATTGTTGTTGCTGTTAGTATACGTGTGCGAGTGTGTGTGTGCGTGTGTGTGGCTGGTACAGCCGATCGCTCGCTTGATCGCTTGATCGATAGCTCTGTAGGCGGGTCACGCGTCACGTTCTCCAGCCCCTTGGCCCGTAGCTGGCTCTTTTTATAATTATTTGAATTATTTATGTGTTTTATGCAGTCAGTCGTCACATCTGAAATTTTCAGTTTCTTTTTGATTTATTTGTGTACTTTTTTTTTTTTGCTCAAAATAATGCTCAGCTTTTTCGTTAATTGGTTCACGTTCACGTTTCGCTCAATACTGTTCGCTGGCAATGTTCAAATTTCGTCAGAAACGAAATATTTGAAAATTGTTTTATTTTCATTATTATATATATCTCCTCTTTTTTTTTTTTTTGGGACAGCCACGAGTTCAGTCCACTCGCGGCAGCATCAGCGTCGTCTATGAGTTTCCTTTGATGCTCAAATATGTTGGCAATATTTGTGTATTTGTTTGTGCAGATCGTTATTTATGAAAGCGCGACGCATTTGACTTTTGATTTAGATTCACATTTTTGTGCGTCTGTACAACATTTTTTTTCTTTCTTTTTTGGCTTATCAATTTGCTTATACACTCACAAGTATTTAGACACGATTATCTCATAACTCATTCAAGAGATTCGTTTTATTTTATGTACTATCAAAATACTCTGACTAATCGCACAAGGTTCGCGTTCTATAAACATTGAATAATGTTTGTGGTTTTTCTTGGGATTTTTTTACACGTTTCGTATTTAAAAGTAAACAATAAACATATTTGTTTATATGCATTTTTAGACCAATTAATATTTGATATTATTTGTGGTGCCCAAAAACCGCAGATACCCCAGATAAAGTAGTACAACTTTTCTTCTTCTTTTTTTTTTTGGTTTTTATGCAAGTGCGCCTAAGGCATATCTACTAGAAGGTGATTTTTATTCGAAAAACAAGGTGCTTAGAGTTAAGAAAAAGTGAAATTTAAAAAGAACTACCAAGTTCGTAAAATGTTAATAATTTAAGATTCTAATAAATTTCTTTGACTATATGGAAGAATAAAATTTGATATGCTACTCAAGTCTACTATAACATTACTAAAATACTATTAGATTCTCAATAATTAAATAAATGTTCTCAAAGACTGTGGTTGATCTTAAGTCTGGAGAAGTAGCGCAACGCCCGCCAGTGTCCATTTGCCTGGCTTATCTTTGGTCTTCAGATTAAAGGTCCACACGTAGGTTGGGCCGCGGGTGCGTGTCTTATAAACGGGGCATTCGTACATGTTCCTCAGGTCCTGCTTGTCTTGGGTAATTGCCTGCGTTGTATAAAGAAACGATCAGGAATTAATATTTTGATTTATTCAAACATGCGCCGCTCTTTAGACGCCACAGATCCGTTCCAAATTCACAGTTGATTCATTCATTGAAATTCAGTTTGGGCAATTTGCATTTCAAACTCACTCGAATATTGATCACTGGCATTGGCGGATAAAGTTCTTTGAGACGTGATTCCATAATAATGCCCTGCTGTATATCCCATCTGGCGCCCTCCATATAGATGCCGTGCACACAGCAGCCGTCCCGCGGTGCCGTTCTATAATTATAATCGCCACAAAGATTTGCAACTGATATAATATCAACAAATATACTTGAATTATTCCCTAAGCTGCTGGCAATTAGCGGGGCGTCTAAGGGTGTGTCTGTGTCTGGGTCTCGGGGCTATTGTTTACCTTAAAGTGACGCCAAATCCATAATGCGAGAAACTGGGCGCCACTTAATAGGCAATCGGGTATCAAGAATCAAGAATCAAGAATCGACAAACGACAAATAGACAATTGTTAATTACATGCCATTAATAATTGATATTTATAAACATTTGTTCGTTTGTATGTACTATGTGCTGTTTTAAAATTAGCTCTCATAAAATAGCATTGCTATTATTAGACACAGCTTGAAGCCGTTGGCCGCTCTCCGCTGCGGATGAGCCGCTGTTTACACTATCTTTTGTATGGAAGCATTGACGCAAGTCATGTACATTTACATAGCCAGTTGATATGACGCCTAGAGCTGGGCGCGTGTCGTGTTTTCTTGTGAGTGAAAAAACCTAACACGATGTGTTAGTGTTAAGAAAATCGGATTACAAAACCCTCTTTGTGGCTGATCAGCAGAAATATATGACTCCTACAGGACTTATATAGCACGATATATAACGACCTTAACATCATCGCACACGAATTATTACGACCTAAACATAGCCTAATTACTAAGCACGACTTAACATGACTATGACTAAGCCGAAGCTTACATAATTTATAAACACCTAGGCTACTTAGCAGACGCTAATACAGCTTTAACATGGCCAATCACGACCCAGCGCGAACTAGACACGAACTTGACACGATTTTATCGCTACGTGAAGTATGTTGTTGATAGTACGAGCTCCTCTCTAATGATGATTAGTAGAATATGTGTATGTGTGTGTGTGTGTGTGTGTGTCACCTAATTGGGTTGTCAGTAATGAGCATTTAGCTGCATTACAGCCAGATGTAGCCTTTTTTATTATATATGAAATGCATCAATATGTTCAGGAATGATCTATAGATAATATACATATGCCATATAATACATTTATATGGCAATAATGTTTTTCCCTCTGCCGCATCACAATCGGCAGCCAGACAATGACAGAAAAATCAGTCGCAGGTCTACACAAATTTTTTTCGTGTAGCAGGGGTCAGCGTTAAAGTCAATTAAAATTGCGTTTTAATAAAGTAGTGTGCGCGTTTGTCGACGGCACTTACGTAAATTCCTCCTTCTGCTTCTTGGTCACGTCACACTGTAGGCACATCTTGTCCAGCGGCAGCTCGTTCCGACGCGCCGTGCTCTGCATGATGGCCGTTAGCAGCGATTGGGGATTAAAGAAGCCCGCCAGCCAGACGCAGGCGGGTAGCTGCAACAACGGTCAACAAAAACAAAAAAAAAAAAAAACAAAAAAGACCATAAATATTTGCAAACTGGTTGGTCGGGTTGGCTGCAGCATACCACAAAATCAGTGGACCATGTTTCCAGCTCTCGCAAACGCAGACACAAATCGATGAACCAATTGTTGAGACCCAGAAGCGAGGGATAGGCACGTTGCGTCCATATTGGCGGCACTTGATCCAAAAACAATGAGTTCTCCAGCACCTCCATGTCCGATGTGATGGTCAATTCACCCTTTAGGCCCAGGTCGAGCTCCTTTAAACTGCGCTTCATTTCACTGGTCAAATAATTCATGCGTTCGCATTCCTGAAAAGCCACAATCACGTAGGGCGTTCGTTCCTCCACTTTATTCATGATCT